ACTTTTCTCAAAACAAATCTAATTATTTTACAGCTGCTTTGTTACATCCTTTTAGGATTTAAGCCAATGTGGGGGAAATTGCATTGCCATATTTTTTACTGGACATTTCATAGGGTTGTACAAAATCTCCTTTAGAAATATTCAATCATACAACAAATATCTGTTGAGGTTTACTATGTGTCAGGCACAATTTCTGATGTGGGGCCACATCAGTAAACAAGCTAATGAAAATCTCTCTTCTTGTGGACCTGGCATTCTAATGCAGCGCTGCCTGGGAGGATGGCAGTGTTCTGAGTTGGCACTGTCATATGCAGTAGCTTTAGTGCTTTGAACACCTGTGAGCATTTGATATGTGGCCAGAGTAACTGAGGAACAAAAATTTTAACTTTAGTCATTTTAATTATTTTAAATAGCCACATGTGGCGAAGGGCTAAGTATTAGAAGTGCAGTTACAGTGACTGCAATACAGAAAAAAGAAAAATAAGTAAATATATATCAAATAATGAGTTGTGCTTTAGAGACAAATATCTTGCTACATAACATGTTTGTACTTCAATATCTTTTCTATTCATACTGCCTTTTTATAAAAAAAGACAGTGATGTTGTTGAAAGGACCTTAATTGTGTTAAGCATCTTAGGTCCAAATGCTAGCAATGCCCAGCAAGTCACTTAACCTGGGTCTTGATATTTCTTACCAGACAAATGAGAGTGGATTCAGGTATTTCTAAAGTCCCTTTTAGTTCTAAACTTTCTTGATTATATTATTCTATTTCATTTCATATAATTGAGGAGGCTCATTAAAAAATGTGGGTACATTAAAATTGTTAATCGAATTATATCATAAAAACTTTAAAAATGAATAAATGTTTTCCCTCATCTGAACATTTAGTCTCTGTGAATAGACTATATGGTGATATTCAAGGAAATATACACCATAATCTCAAGTTTCTAGAGGAATTTAGCGTTGATTTCATGTTCTTTGTAAATGAATTAATCCTTGTTTGAATCAAGAAATTCCTGCCCTGGCCAGTGTGGTTCATTTGGTTGGGCATCATCCTGAGCACAAAGGGTTGCCAATTCTACCCAGGTTGCAGGCTCCATCACCGGTGGGGGGCATGGATGAGGCAGCAGTTAGGTGTTTTGTTCTCACATTGATGTTTCTCTCTTTCTCCCCCTTTCTTTCTCTCTAAAAATGAATAAAAAATCTTCTTAAAAAGAAATTCCTTCATTTAAGTATTTCTGTTTTAATAAATTTTGTATTATTTAATCCTTTTTAAATTCTAGAATTTAAAGTTTATCATTTAGAACTTTTGGAGAATGTTGATCTATTGAATCCCCGGCTTTGCTACTTAACAATAGTATAACTATGGACAAATAAACAAATTACTTATGTATTACAGCTCAGTTTCTCATAATAAAAAAGAATAATAGCCTCATATTATTGTTGTAAGCATTGAATGAAATAAGAAATATAAGGAGCTTAACACAATTCCTGACACAAATATATCATCTCACAAGTGTCCATTGTTGTTAATAATATGCTGGTTATTATTAAACACCTCTATCATGAGTGTTATTTTGTCTGTCAGAGTAAAAGTCTTTTATAGAACTAAGAATGTATGCCAAATTTTTTATTAAACAAGTCTGAATGGAGTGCATTTAACATGTTAAAAAGAAAATTATATCAACAATAAGATTTATAAAGTTTTTTCCATGATATTAATGGTTTAAAGAATGCAGCAATTATGCCCTGTTGATGCCCTTGTCTGTCATTCCAGGACTGATAACAGTGTTTTAAAAGTTAAAGATTTTACTTATTCTAAAAGACAGACTTTTGAAAGACATGACATTGATCAAGATTTCTATAGAATTGTTATATATTTTTAAATAATGACTAGAAACAGAGACTTTTCAATTGTTCTGGTAGCCCAAGATAAACAACCGAAAGCAGAATTTGTAAGAAAATGGTTTCCTGTGATAAAACATGGCATGTCCAGTGAGATTTAGAAATTCAGAATCGAAGTTCAGAGTATAAAATTAACCATGTAGAGACTTATAAAAGCAAGAACTTCAAACTCACAATTGAAAATAATAAATGTTGACTAGTCATATATAGTCTGTCCTCCTAATTCATTTTTTGTCTAAAATGTCCCTTTTTATTAAGTGTATTGGGATGACATTGATTAATAAAATTACATAGGTTTCAAATGTACAATTCTATAATACATTATCTGCATATCGCATTGTGTGTTCACCACCCAGAGTTAGATCTTCTTTAATCCTCATATATTTGACCCCCTTTAACCCAAAACTCCCCCCTCCCTCGGTAACTACCATACTGTGATTTGCTTTTCTTGTTTGTTCATTTGTTGTTTTCAGTTTTAAGAACCTATTTCTGGATGCCTATTCACCGTTCTTCACTGGGAGGAATCAGAGCCCTTTGGAGAAAAGATTGATTCCAAAACTAGGCCAGAAAAAGTATGAGATGAATTTGGAACATCTTTTGCCAGTAAAGAAATGCTCAAAATATGATGAGCATTTATGAATATTAAAATAAGCGATGATAGTAATAGATTACAATGTATTGAATATAATAGGAATCAATAAGTCTATACTAGATAAATAAATAAATAAGAAGAAAAGGAAAACTCTTCCTTATAGTTGGAATATCAATTTATAAGCCTAGAAAGAATCTATTTCACAACTATTATAATGCTTAGGAGTTGTCAGTGGATGCTAAGTTGGTGGGCTGATAAACAATGAGTGGGATATTGACAACTTGGAATAGCTCTAATACTAAAAGTAATCAATTACAAAGAGGAAACATAATGATCTTATGGTGGAGAAACCTAGCAGAGACCAACACAATCAGGTGGTGAAAGTCAATAGTGTGGGTCAGTGGTTGACCATTGACCTATGAGCCAGGAGTTCATGGTTTGTTTCTAGGTCAGGCCGTACGCTCCCGATGCAGGCTTGGTCCCCAGAGGGGTTATGCAGGAGGCAGCTGATCAGTGATTTTCTCTCATCATTGATGTTTCTATCTCTCCCTCTCTGAAATCAATTAAAATATATATTTTTAAAAGTTAATATCACTAGTAGTGGGATTAGTCAACATCATGTGCTCTCTTAAGGTAATCACCAAGAAGAGCATCGCCCAATTTCTGTGGTGCTCCTGATTGAAAAATAAACAAACAAACAAACAAAAAACATTACCTTGGAGATCATGAAGAGACATCAGATCCTCTTGTAGAATTTTAATATTCATCCTCTTTAAAACTGTTAAGGACATAGTAGAGAAAGGCTAAGGAATTATTACTGCTTAGAAGCACATGAAGAAATATGACAACTAAATGCAACATGTGTTCATTGAGGTCCTGGTCCCAGGAAGAAAAAAACGTTTTTTAGACAAATGGCAAAATTTGCATGAGGTCTGTGGCTTGGACAGTAGTATTGTATCTGTGGATTTCCTGTCTTGAGGAGTTGTGTTGTGGTCATATAGGAAAATATCCATGTTTAGAAATTATACTCTGTAGTACTTGGATGTGATGGAGACAATATTTTTGACTTGCTCTCAATTGGTTCTGAAAAGACTTAATAAAAGCATAGAGAAAGAAGGAGAAAGGGTGATGGGGCAAATGTGGTGAAATGTCAACAATTGGGCAATCTGTGTCAGGGTGTATGGAAATCTTTATACCAATTGTGTAATTTTTCTGTAAGTTTGAACTTTAAAAACAATTACACATATTTTAAAGCAAATAGAAGGAAAACTTACCCCAGATTGGGTTTGTAGAAAGAATTTTATTAGGAAGTGATCCAGAATTTGGGATCTAAAATATGTTGGCAATAGGCCCTTAAGGATCTGTGAGCGCCTTGAGAGGAGAGATTGTCTAGTTTTAGTTCTTATTTTATTTTGTTTTTGATGATTGACAATTAGATATTATTGTTGATTGAAGGCATGAATTAAAAAAAAAACAATGGAAGGAAATTTGGTATGGATGGGAATTGGAATGTCAGTGTGGCAATGGCAAAAAACTAGGCTGGAAAGGTTAAGCAGGAATTCAATAAATACGTACTGAGTGTGCTTATAAGCAAAAAAATTCAAGTAATTATAAAATGACTTGAGAAATGGCAGCTCTCTGCTTCATCCTAAGTGATTGTTAAGAGTTCTGATCTACATATATTCATTTTTAATATTAAATTATTTGGAAATAACTTGAAATTTTAAGTAATTGGATAAGATTTATCCTGCTTAAAGTTAAATTAACGAATCTTTATAAAATCTTGCCAATTGTCAGGATTATGTATATAAATGTTTACATATGTACTTTATAAGATCAATGGGTTTAAATCGCTTACAGCTTTGTTCAGCTCTAACAGCTGCTCAGACAACTATGGAAACTTGCAGTTCAGTATGTATCCTGCTTTGCACCCGCATAAATAAGCTCTGCCTGTTAATCTCCATCGTTTTCCATTCTAGTGGTCCTTTTCGATGCAGCCAAATTGTGTGAACTTAATTGGAATATTATTTTTATTAATAGTTTCTTAGGGAAAATGTGACTACAAAAAAAGTACTCATTAGTCTCTTGGCATTTTAGTCCTGCTGCTCTTACAATCCCAAATGAGTAAAAGAATCTGTAGAAACAGAGCTTATATTTAAGAAGCAAAATTACTTATCTCAGTACCCTTAGTAAATGAATTTGGAGCAAAGGCATTATACTTATTTGAAAAATGTAGGACAACTTTTGCCTAGATGTTTGTTCCCCTGAAATACTTATTTTGCTTGCCACAAAATTGGGCAAAACAGAATAATTTTAGAACTAAGAACTTCTATTAAGTTTATCGACCTATAAAATGTATAAATGAATGTGAAATAAATAACAAATCTTGTAAAATAAATGCATTCTGTAATTATGGGAATTTTAAAAGAGGATTGTTAAAGCCCTTCTTTTATAAATATTTACAGTATTGCTTTTTCATTTTGTTTTTACTAAAAATGCTAGGCACTTGGAGGTGTCCCAGGAAGTCAGCCATTGCTTCCCAGTGGAATGGACCCAACTCGACAACAAGGTGATGGTTTAAAGTAAAAGTGAAATAGATGTGCAGAATCTTAAAGGAAATCTTTGATTTTTTTAAGGAATTTTTTTATTTGAATAAATCTTTCATAATTATACCAGTTGCATTTTTGCAGATGGCATGGCCAAGTGATTTATATTTTTAGCTACATCTTCATTATGCATAATGATGAAGGCAGTGATAACATGAGAAACAGAATAATTAAGCACCTCGCAGAGAGGAGACTCCTGCCCTCTGGTTTGGCACCATGGTCATTTCCTAGCTAATACCTTCTTACTTTTATTTTAGGACATCCAAATATGGGTGGGCCAATGCAGAGAATGACTCCTCCGAGAGGAATGGTGCCCTTAGGACCACAGGTAAATAATCAGAAAGTAAACGCTGAGTTTTTTGCCTTCATATAAACAAACTATGTTATGTCCTGGATTTTGTTGTATGCCTTAAAGGCTTTATTGATATAATAGAGTTGTTAGGCTCTTGAGAATAGAGTATCTGTAACGTCCATATTGATGTAGCAGCAAACCATATTTACAGGTGCTGTCACATATGCATTCAGTATTTGAGAAAATACATTATAGTAGTTATTATAAAAAAAATAATTATTATCCTTCTGTTAGTTATATTGAAGAAATATATTAAAAATTTGTAGAAAATTGTTATAAAAGATAACAACCATATCAATTAAATGTTTAAAAATATTAAAATAAGCAATTATAAAGTATTTCTCTGTATTTTGGAGGATGTCATTGACTATTTTATACTACCATATTTCTTTATAGAATATGGAAATAATAGAAAATAATTTGGAAATAACCATTGGAAATTTGTCTTGCTGAACAAGCATAGTGCTATCAGTAAATATCAGATGTTAGCCTATTACTCTATCAAAATTTCCCATAAGTATACACTGAGGTCAAATCTATCCTAGCTGTTAATGACATTTTTTAAGTATGCTGTTCCAGGATATTATTTATTTTGGCTGAAATATCTTTTTTGTCTTCCTTGTGAAAACTACATGGGGTAGAAATGAATTTTATAATGTTATATTTCAAAGAAACTAATCCAAACCCAGAAATTAGAATTTCTACCTTATGGGTCAGAGGTTAGCATGTTATAACGCTAGTTAAAATAATGAATTAATTTAATTTGTCCTTTTCAAGAACAGCTTTATTAGTGACAGTTTTAAGAATTGTCTCATGAATCTATTTTTTAAAATTAAGATTTTGTTGTGTGGCCAAAGAAGTCAGAGATTTAGAACTTAACACCCAGATAATGTGACTTAGGCCTAGGAGTTTTTAAACAAAATACAGTAATAAGTGTACAAACCATATTGAACTATATATAACCTAATTTTTCAGAAATATCATATTACATGGGGAAAAATACTATGTGAGATAGTGAGATGCTCAGTCAGGAAAGAATAATTTCTACCAATAGATTAAATATATGTGAGATACTCAGTCAGAATAAATAATAATTTCTTTCATTTAGGCTCAGTCTTTATATGCTTTCTTAATATCTTATAAAAATCTTATTTTGATATTTAAATTATTTTCACTGTTACTACTCATGTTAGCAATAATAATTTGTGACCAACCATCATAAGCTATTAATAGTAATTAGAATTCATAAAACCTATAGAATATTTCATAGATTGAATATACAGAAGTTTTTAATAAGCTAAATATTTAATGAACTAAGCCAAACAATTTGGCTCTACAGAATGTACAGGCAGCAATCCCTAGTGGTATAGTGGTGTAAGGGCCTAATGGAGAATGTACAGGCTTTTTTTTTTTCAGATTTTCATAATAGATATATTTTAAAGATACATCAAAACTGCATGCTTATAATTTAATCAGACTTAATTCAGTTCACTTATTTTTCAGGTAGCTGCTTTTTAAGCTTTTGTCATTCCTAGACCAATATTTTTAATAGTTTGAAAACTAGAGTCTGATTTAAGAGTCTGTTTTGTAGTGTTTGAAATACAAAGCATACCGGTCTGTGTTTTGGTTTATAAATAGCTCTATGTTTTGTTACAAGTAAAAAAATTCAATGTAAGATAGTGTATTTATGGTGAATAATCTCTTATTAATGAGTTTTAATAAGTAGGTTTATCATATAAGTGTGAATTCTTTGTTTGCATATTCAAACCCAAAGAAAGTAGTTTATTTCTTCCATGTGGATTGGTATCCTTGCTATCTATTTCTATATAATTTGAGGGAAATAAAGTGTTTTGTGTGAGTTTACCTAAGAAGCCAGAAATACCTACACTCATTTTGAAAAACACAATATATAAAGTATAAAAGGAAAGTATCATTTATTTAAATAAAAACAGGAATCATATGAATGAATAATAGATAAAAAATGAGGTAAAAATCATTTGGAATGGGGAATTCTTGTGAGGTATTTACTCATAACACCTGGTATATAAAACATAAGCATTATAAACTGTGAAATGTGTAGTAAAGGTTAGCTGTGTTTCTTGAAAGAAAATAGGAAAACAACTTTCATAACACATTTAATCATACAGATGCCACCTAAGAGTGGAATGCACCTGCTTTTTTGTAGTTGAATTATAGAAGCATAATGTTGTTTTTGGCTTTATGCACAAACAAAATATACATCTTGTTCTTATCAGAGGTACTGTTGCTATTATTTTTTGAGGTTTAGATCAGTATGGTGAGAAGGGATAATAGTTATCTATTGGAACAATTTAATTACTAGAACAAAGAATTATATATTGTCTAGTGATTCTTATACAATGCTGATTTAGGCAAAGCACACCCCTAGGACAATAGTAAACATGTAATTAATATTTATTGCATGGATGGAGAAATTAAAATTTGCTCTAAATCCTGGAATATTTTCCCCACCTATTAATCTATTTAAATTAAAAGTTCAGTGATAACTGGTAACACATCATTTTTTTTTAAATGATATCACTATCTTTTTAATAGAAAAGCAAAATTATCTATTTAATCAAGAAAAATTGCTTTCCTAATACCAAAATTTGAAGTCGTTTTTTTACTTGCTTTTGTGCTAAGAAATACTTATCTGTGTTCTATGCTCAGCAGGTGCCATGCAATTAACAGGAAAATTCACCAAGACTACCCAACTATTTCTAGTTCTTCTAGAAAGCTAAAGGCTAACTGATTTACATACAAATGAAAACATACCATGATTTCCAACTCAGATATTTGAGGTGGAGAAATGGTGAGATGGAAATACGTGATGGCTGTCACGTAAAGAGAGAGTAAATGGATTTCTGCATTTTCAAATATAAGATCGAGGTAGAATTCAGTTCAGGATAAGGGAGAAATATCTAGAAATTAAACTGCCCAATCATGGAAAAACTCTGTAAACTTTTCAAGCAGCATCTGAAGAGCCATTTTGTCAGGAACATTGCATTGGGAGTGAGATTAACCAGATGGAATTGTATAGCTGCCATAAACTTTAAAATTCAGCGATTCTAAATTAGCTCTTTCTATTCTGCCTTTGTTGATACCACTTGGAAAGCTAGTTGTTATTCTTTCTTATATTCCTGTTTCCTTTTTGCTTCAAATTAATCGCAAAAAGTAAATATTTTATAAACCTATAAAATTATAAGTTGAATAATTTCTTACTTCCTGTGCCACTTGAGCACTGGGTATACCAAGATGAGTAAAACAGACTCTGCCTTCAAGGTGCTCACTGTTTAGCAGAATGAGCAGAAACATAAAGAAAAACTATTATGCAGCAGGGGGAAAAAATGTAGAAAGGAAATATGCATACTCTATCAGGGAGTCGTTACATAAAGAAGCTAAGTAATTCTGTTAGGCTTGAGAGCTCAAGGGAAGCTGATGAGAACTCATTTAAAGTTGGTCCCTTATTAATGGTGACAAAAAAAAATTGCAACTATAATTTTGGAGCACCAGCTACCATGCATTTAATTTAGCAAGCACTGTCATAGCTGTTTATGATTTCATTTTATCCTCCCACAAGCTTACAAGGGAAAAGGTGTGATCACTCTATAGATAAGGAAGTTAAGGTGGAGGGGATCATTAGGAGGATCACTGGCCTAATATCACACATGTAGAAAGAGGGTCAGAGGAAATGGGGCAGGGGCAATAGAGATTCAGCCCAATGTCCTTCTGTGTCCAGAGCTCTGAGGAAGACTAATGTTTTCCTTAATACTATAAAACACAGATCTTCTAAGACCAAAACTAAGGGGAAACTTTCTTTGTGTTGCATATCACTATCTAAAAATGATAGTGATATCATTTTTTAAAATGTGTTACCACTGAACTTTTAATTTAAATAGATTAATAGGTGGGGAAAATATGCCAGGATTTAGAGCAAACTTTATTTCTCCATCCATGCGATAAATATTAATTAGATGTTTACTATTGTCCCAGGGGTGTACTTTACCATTCAGATTTTTCCCCAATGACATTCTCCTTGCTAATACTATCGCCACCTCCACTGGCTTGATCCAAAGGTTAAGGAAATAGTTATCCTTTTAACCCCTGACTCAGTGTGTATAGAAACCATTCCACTGTCCCATAGCACACACAATTTCCTGAAAGTAACAGAAATAAACAATGAGAATAGCATGTAAGTAAATAAATTATTTATAAACTGTGGCTTACTCTTTGGAGTTAACAGACTTTCTTCATTGAATATTTCCTTGTCATCTTAGCACTTACTACACAGAAGGCCTCAGCACATGAGTTAACATGAGTACATTTGTATTGCTGGTTTCCGAACCACGAGGTACTCAGGAGGTTGCGGGATGTAGTTGGGATGGAAGGAAGAAGGTAATTGTAGGAAATGAGGACAGGAAGTATGTGAATAATCCCACAGAGCCATGCTGAGGAGTCGAGTCTGTATTTGATAGGCAGTGCGGTCATCATGGCTTTTAAATGATTTGAAGAAGGCTAAGTTTTAGGACCAGAGTTTTGGAGGGCAGTACGGAGAATAGATTGGGAGGGGGAGAGGCTGAGTCAGAGAGACCAATTAAGACAGTAGAGTAGTCTCCTTCTATCACAAATATTAGTGATACAAGGAGAGCCTTACTTCAAGAGCTATTTCACAGGTAGAATCAATAGACTGTGGTAACTCACTGGATACAGGAATTGAAAGCAAAGGAAGATACATCAAAGCTCCTGGAGAGTCTTAGCCAGGACTAGTGTGTGGAGGTCATTCCACAGAAATGAGGAGAGTAATGCAAAGGGCAGCCATGAGAGAGACTATTCACTGTACTTTCCGTCCTGCTGAGCATGAAGTGGAAATGATTCATGTGAAGTTCAACATGAGTTACCCAGGCACTTCGGAGATCTATCCTGACAAAATAGAAAAGATTTGGGATTCCTAGTAGAAGTAGTTGTTGAACTAATAATAGTAGCAGATAAAATTACTCACTAATATACATTTATTGAAATAATAAGAATGATTTGGCCCTTATGGAAATTAGAGTAAGTTAATATAATATGCATGTTAAAACATTAAACATTTTTATCATTTGAAGGACAGAAACCTATTGAATCATAATTTATGCATACATATTCTGAGTTTACTTTAGTTTTCATGTATTTTTGTACATTGGTATTAGTGCATTTCTGTGATGGGTATATTATAACATTAAACATTTTTATCATTTGAATGACAGAAACCTATTGAATCATAATTTATGCATACATATTCTGAGTTTACTTTAGTTTTCATGTATTTTTGTACATTGGTATTAGTGCATTTCTGTGATGGGTATATTATTTTGTGAACAGAAGTTTGGTTCAAATTTCTTTTATTGGTTCATCTGGGAGGTATTTTTTTTTTCCAGACTTTATGTAAATATTCTGGGTCTGACAATTTCAAACATGTTGACTAAGTATTTTCTTTAAAAACAATTTTGAAATTTGTGAAATGTTTTAAAGTTCACTGTTGTACAGATATACAAATTAATAAAGATATGTTAAATATCATCGCAACTATACCTTAATCATTTAACATGCTACAATGACTTTCCATATTTACATAATTTTTAAAAGACACAAACCAAAATAATTGTTAAAATGGAAGCAAAAGTACAAGAGTGGACCCTTCAGAGAATGAATTGCACAGGCCTTATCCAGTCAGGAGTTGTGTAGGGAAATCATTAACCTGCTCTCTTTCTTTCCCCCCTCCTCTTTGGTTTTGTTTTTTTGTTTTGTGGTAGTCTGACCCTTGGTTATCATTACAGAACTATGGAGGTGCAATGAGACCCCCACTGAATGCTTTAGGTGGCCCTGGAATGCCCGGAATGAACATGTAAGCAAAATGCTGTATTATCCTATTTTCCGCTTCAAAAGCCACACTGATTTGTAAGGCAGTTTGAGCTCTTCAGTCTGGGAGGTGTAAAAGTGGAGTAAGCATGAGCTGTAGTGTCTGCTTCATTTTCAGAATGTATTCTCTATGGTTTTCTTCCTTCCCTTGTGCCTTTCATTTCTTTTCCATTTTCAGGTGCCATAAATGCCAACTTTTAGCCTGTTTCTTTTTTTCTTTTATATTTTATTTATTTATCATAAAATGAAGTTTCTTTAAATAAATAAGTACAGAGTCTCCATATCATCTACACAAAATATGAAGAGATCATGTCTTAACTCTACAGAAGTGAACATTTTATTAGTAACTTCATTTTAATAGGTACCTAATGACTCCCGAGAGTGGCATTTCCTGCTCTTCTGTATGAGCCTTTTGCTTCATTGGGCCCGCTCTCAACACAAGAAAGAGTTCTCTCTGGTAGTATCGTCCCTATTAAAGAACTTCCATAGTATAGGATGCATTTCCTTATGAAAAATCAAGTTGCACTTAGATAAGGAGTAAACAGTTTGGGTTTTTTGTTTGTTTGTTTTTATGAAAAGCCTTTTAAGCCCAAAGACAGTGGGTTGCTTTTATCAGCCAATATCATGCAATTTGTTAAGGAATTTTTAATTATCCAAGTTGCCCTCAAAGTTCCATAAACTGTAAATTAGGATTCCTGTAAACAGAATTCCTTCAAGATGTTTGTTAATAATGTTGATTAATTAACTAGGGGATCAGTTCCATGATGTGGCTTAAAGAAAGCTTACAGAGATGTAAAGATGTTTAATATAGGGTTGTGGGTAGTCTCCTCTATTTCCATAATCCATGTTTTGGTCACTTACGTGTCAAATTAAACAACTCTGCCACCATTTAATGGCATTGAAGATATACTGTGAGATACACACAGGGATTTTCATGTAAAGCAATTTTGCCTAAAATAGAAAATAGGTTAATAGGTGGGTATCAGCCAGACTGAAAACTAACAGAACAAGGGGGAAAAGTAGGTCAAATTTTTCTATTACATCTTTTCACTTTTAAAGTATAAATGGTTAGACATGAAGTCTAACTTTTCTTAAGTCCCTCAAAGGCTTGGCCTTTATTAATGGTTGCTGCAAAAAAGCGAGAGTGATATTTTGTGCTGATATCAAAGCTGAATCTCTTAACAGTAAGATTTACCTACCTGAGATTCTGACTTTAAAATGCAATAGCTTTTAAGGAATATGCATTTTTAATACCATGATCAATCCAGAATTATCATTAAATATTAAGAATATATATAATATTTTAGGACTCTTTGTTATAATTAAATACACACATATAATTATCAGACCCAAATAGCTGCTTAAATGGTCTAGTTCCCTTATTACACACACACAAACACACACACACACACACACACACACACACACACACACACACACATATATATATATATGTACATTTAATATCCTAGAGTATGAAGACTAAAAATATGGATGAAACTCCTCTATAATAAAACCCTAATATGCAATCCTATATAATAAAATCCTAATAAGCCTTACAGACTCAAATGGCGGAACGACCAGTTGCTATGACACACACTGACCATCAGGGAGAAGAGGCTCAACACAGGAACTGCCCCTGGTGGTCAGTGCACTCCCACAGGGGGAGCGCCACTCAGCCAGAAGCTGGGCTGGCAGCTGAGGTGGTGGAGCCTCTCCCACCTCCAAGGCAGTGCTAAGGACCCCTCGGGGGATATCCACCTGCTGGCTTAGGTGGACAGCCCCTGAGGGGTCCCAGACTGTGAGAGGGTGCAGGCCAAGCTGAAGGACCCCCCCCCCCCCCCCAGTGCACAAATGTCATACATGGGCTACTATAGTTTTAATATAATTATTTTTGTTTCATTGAATTTGTGTTTCTCATTTAAATATACCCAGATACTTTGAAGTATTTTTGTTACATGTTACTACTTATGTAATTTCTGATGTTTAAAGAACCTTTAAGCCTTACTGACTCAAATTTTCATTATTGTCATTATTGACTTTTATTCACGGTCCTACATCATTTTCAGTTTTCTGTAAATTACGATTCCTTCAAGGATGATGAAGTGTAAATATGTATGTGTTTACACTTGTATATATGTCCCTCTAACAGGGAAAGTTCTCATGTATGGAAGATAAAACCAGAGAGATAAGTTTTTGTGTTGATATTGGCCCCAACAAAGTGAATTTAAAGAGACATTTTTTTTAAAAAAAAAACCACATTATCTCTACTGTACTCAATAGAGTAAACTTTATTGAAATTTACTTCATAATTATCTTTTAAACAAAATAGATATTACTATGTTTTGACAAGTAAGTGTTTCTGTATTTTTTCATCTTACTTTTTTACATGTTGGGTATCTTAAAAATGAAAAGAAATGGCATTATAACAGCATTAGCTTAAGCTACGATTTTAATTGTCTAAGATACTTGAATGTTGGTTCAGGAGAGACCTGCCAGAGAATCATTATCTGGATAAGTTTTCTTTAGCTTATCACTTTTCTTGTTTGCAATGAAAGTTTAATGACAATGAAAAATACCAAACCCTGGTCACTGAAGTAATTAAATACTGTATTTTCAATAGCAACTTTACCTCTTTATTGAAGAAAACACCATTTAAAACAGAATTTTAATAATTTTGTTTAAAAAAGTTGATCACCTCCAAAAAATATGGTTATTCTGACATAATTTTTACATTTCATGCTCTAAACTCAGCATAAATTATTCATAGTATTATCTAAAAATTAAATAATATATACTTTTATTGTTTCTATAACTAGTTATATCTTTAGAAGTAAAAACTTAATGTCAATTTCAGTAATTTAAGGTAGAATTTATAAACCAATGTAAATGTTTTCAATGCATTATAGATTGTTTTTAAAGGAAACTATATATTTTAATTATCTGCATTTTTTACAAATTCCCAAAGAATTTAGGATTCAGCATTAAAGCTCTTCTAATGTGATGTTGAATACCTTTTGTTTATAGAAACAAAAGGAGTCTAGACCTTCTTGTTCTATTCATATCTTACAGAATCATAAAGTGTGTGTAGTTGTTATCTGGAAATAAAATGACTGAATTACAAAACAAAAGAGGAATTTTCTGCATGGTAATCATGGTTGCTCTGGTTTTATAACATCCATATACCCTTACTAAGACATATGGACTTTTTCAATTCCATTTTTCTCTTTATTTTTAAATGAAGTTTTTATTTGAAATAATGCCTATGTTATAGATTGTAGATTATTTTCTTGATGATACTGGTGGCCTTCAAAAGTACTTGGAATGACTGAGCTTAGTAATTGTCCTAATAAAAATACTCCCTACTGTAATCCCCACTTTATTTAGTACTTTTATGAAACTTAAAATGTTTTCAAATGCAATGGTAAAGTTGGGGAACTTTAGTTTATCCATATGAATACTTAACCAATTATATTAAAATATAATTTAATATGAAGCACATGAGATTAGATTGTTATTTGTCAAATAATTAAAATGTATGAAAAGTATAAACAAATAAAATATTTTACTTTAAATATACATTATTCAGACAGTTGTTATTTGAACATAATATATAACAAAATTGTATACAATTTTGCTATTATGTGGATATAGTATATTTTTATGTTGTTTTCAGATAAATATTTCTCAGTTCTTTATTGTATATTATTTAACATTGAACAAACCATATGAAAAGTAATTAAGGTAAAATTTATAAGCCACAGAATAAGAATAAGGGGACTTTTTCTTAGTAAAAATTCTCACTGTGATTAGAGGAAAAGAAGAATTTTTAGTGACCTAATTACAGAGGACTGTCAGTGGTCTACTTTCTATCAGGCAGTATTATTCAGGTATACTTAATACCAAAGTAGGAAAATAAGGAACCTTTCTGACTTAGACGTTAATTTTGTTTTAAAAATGTGATGTTCTTTTAGACTATAGAATATAAATCATTCTTCACCCTAAAATTAAGTAATATATTGACATACATCGGTATAAGTAAGCTCCTATTTTCCCCCAAATTTACTCTGGCTACTGTGTTCCACTACAATTATTATTATACAACAAGAAATGGGGTTCTCTTGTTTAATAGTAAACTAAATTGTCATTATCACTGAAAGATAGGTTGATATATAAGTGTATAGTGTAATATGTGATAATCTGATTTTTTAAAAGAGGGAAAATTTAGACACATTTGTATACATTTATTTGTAGCTTAAAAAGAACAATCATTTTTACACATTAGATATTTTACAAAAATTTTATTTTTATTTTTAATGAGATACATGGGGTGCTTATTAATGTTACAAGTTATATTTTATAGTATCTATTTCATAATTAAGACTTTTTACTTCAATAGTGTGTTTTTTTAATGATTTAAGTATATGTATACATTTACTGATATAGGTGATCACAACTTTTAGTGGTTATTACAATAACTGAACTTAATATTAAAGTGAAACTGGACTTATTAAAAGTAGTTTGATTTGGAAAGAAAATTGTGTTGTGAAATGATAAAATTGTTTCATAATTTACAATCCCAATAGCTTTTGTTGTTCTCAGGAAAAATAAAAAATGTTCTTATCATACACACTAGAAAAAAAAACTGTGAAAATAAGTATAGAGCAGTTTCATTGTTGAACTAGAACTTCCTGGTGGCTGTATTGTAAATGTTAATATTTTGTGGTATTATTGTGAGACATTCAAAGCATAAGTTAAAATTTTATTTTTTGTATTGTCTTGTAGGGGTCCAGGTGGTGGCAGACCTTGGCCAAACCCAACAAATGCCAATTCAGTGAGTATATGTATTTTTAAATTTTCTTTGCACTTTTTAGCATTTAACAACAAAAGTCTGTTGCTTTTGAAAGCCCTGCAGTTGGTTATATTAATCTTTTTTAAAGGTAATCATTCAAAACTATACATCTTATATATATTCTTTTAAATATTTATAATTGTAATTTTTTCACTTAAGGTTTAATGTAAACAAACATTCTGTATAGATTAACAGACCTTCAAAAATAAAGTGGACAGTGTGATTTAAGTATACTATAGTAACCTATAAAATGATGTGATTTATGTATTATAAAATGATTTATTATAAAATGATTTGATCTTCTAAAATAACTGTATAATCATTACGTTGCCAGAGAAGATCAGTCTCAATCAGAGTTCCAATGATTACATTTTCTGTACTAGTGGCACCTAGGCTTGTTCCATTGCCGCCCCAGGAAGCAAGTGTGCATTGGTCTTGGGCCTGTGGTCTAAATTGCTACCCTCACACATCTATCTGTGATTTTCCTCACATGTTTGTGGCAGTGGTTTGCACAAATATTTCTCTCTCAGTAATGTCACATAAAGTATGCACAGTTTGAAAATTAAATTTACAATCTTAAAATTAATATAACTTTTATTTAATGATCCTGCAGATACTTCTCCTTCTTGACTTTTAAATCATTATGTGAGCGAGGTCTGCTGTGAATGTGTGTGTAGGGTGTGCACTTCACAGAGGTGCCTGAACCAAGAGAGTTAGCAAGAGACTGAAATATGGCTTGTGAAGTCTGTGAACATCTGCCCAGAGGGGATTCCTCTTCTAATATACACTGAGATGCCTTCATTGGCTAACCTCAGCCTTACTGCCAAATCAACATGAGACCAGTCAATGTATAAGGTTAATTTAAACTTCAAGAAAACTTAAAGTGAGGTGTGTGTTGTATAGAAAAAATCATCCTAAATCCTTTACTATTCTAAAGCATAAACTACTTTCTTCTCAAGTAATTGCCATATTTTTAGAGAGGAAAATAATTTATGTTAGCAGCCTCTCTAAAAATTAATGGGAAAATATCCTTGGGTGATGATTAACAAAAAAATAAAAATAAATCACATAATCATTTCCCTAATAAACTATATACTTTCATATCTTTTTCTTTTCCCTTCCTCCCTTCTTTCCTTCTTTCCTTCCTTCCATCCATCTTTCATGCTATTCTTTGTCTTTCTGATGGTCACCCACTCTCTCTAAGTCTCAGCTGCCCAGCTCAAATATATCTTCTGTACCTACATAATACTTCTACCTATATTGTTATATTTTTTTTCTTTGATGCTAGGCTGTCAGATACTGCTGGTAACTTTCAAAAATATTCAGTAGAATGCTAGGGGTAGGAGCCCAAATGCTCCTTTTGTTTTGTTTTAATAAGGGTATCCAAGAATATAAAATAGAAATAGCAAGGATAAGCCAAAATCAAAGAGCTCAACAGGATAAAAATGGAAATACATTAAATAACTAGATGAGATAAATTTTTAAGTATTTTTAAATGTTTGTTATATTTAACTGCATTTGAAGGAGTCATGAAGAGGGAAAAATTAAAAATATAAAAGGAGCAAGGACTTGGGGCTAGCTTTGGAAACAAACAGAAAGATTTTTTTCTACCAGACATAAATGGATTTAAAAAAAATTATAAATAAGAAAGTATTGAGCAAAAGATGAAGGCATAGAAAGAATGCCTTTACTGTATGGCAGAAGGTACCAACTCAGGATGGTATAATCATCATGACTACATCACCCCTCACCCTCCACCCCTCAGGAGTTTGCAGGATTCACTGGCACACTACTGAAATGCTTCAGGGTTTCCATAAAGGTTGAGCCAAAATGCTTCCACATACTAATGAAGACAATATTGAAGCTGGATAACATGATTACATTTTGGACCTTGTCAAGTTTGTTTTGTGTTTCTTTTTAGGAAATCCCTACTGTAAAACAGAAAAGGTAGCTAGAGAGTGGAAATTAACAAAGTTGGCTTTAGGTTAATGAATTTAAGATATTGGAGAAAAATAAAATGTTGATAGGGGCATAGGGAGGGGCAGAAGCAACTTATTATTAAGCCAGTAGGAGAAAATGGACTTAGTAAAAATGGAGGAATTGTGATGGGAGAAGATTTTGATTGAAATATTATAAAGGAAGGCAATGAAATGTAAATGCCAAAGGTTGGTGGTTAGCATGTATTTTGAAATTGCTTAGGAAAATGGTAGGCAATAGAGAGAGGGGAAGAACATAAGCCGGTTATAGGGAGGTAAAAATTGGAGCCAGTGGTAAGTTGGTCCTTGAAGAGGGCGGATACACAAGTTTAAAATACTACAAAGCAAAGGATGGACAGTAGATCACAAACTCACAGGGGCCCAAGAGAGCAAAGTTGTCTTCACTCACCGAGGAGAGTGAATGTTTTATTGCCCAGAATCCACAGTGGAAGTCATACTCATCAGCAGTGATGCTGCGTCCTCTGGCAATGGCCATCTGCAGTGCTGAGTTACCCATAGGCAGACCAAACATGGGCCTCAGAGACACGTGGTCTGTGCTTAAGGCAAATCAAGGACACCAGTAAATGAGGAGAGGATTTTAAAGAACAATATTAAAAAGTTTCTCAATCAAAGACATATTCACCAATAGAAAACCATACCTTTGTTGTACTGCCTTCTGCCTACTTATGGTCTCATATTCTTTTTATGTTTAATTATATGGAAGGTGTTGGGGTAGAAGTAGGGCTACAGATTCAGGCACTAAATTCTTTTTGCTATGCTAAAGGTCCTTCTAATATTCTGGCCCTGGCTGTCTGACTGCAGGAAGATAGAGATTTATTCAGAATAAGGAAAAATGCCTCTTCTGGGTGGGCAGAATCTTCGTGTAAGTGAGTGAGTCAGCTTGTGTGAAGAAAGAAATTATTTGCCTTTAACTTATTTTTATATGTGTTTTCCAGTTTTTATTTTTAAAACTATCATAGCAATGTTATAGTGACATCTTTTAATCTCTAGAAAAGCACTTGGTTCGATGCTTAATTTGAAGAGAAAGAGGGACTTTGTTACCTATGTCTGGTCCTCACAAATTAGTAGTCTTTGCAGACTTAATAGTAACAAGATATTTTGCATTTATTATAATACTTTCTAGTGTTAATTATAAAGGAAAGGTGGAAAGATGAGGTCTATCTATTAGGTATTGCATGAATGTAGTACACTGAAACCTGTCTTTAAGAAAAAAAACACACACACATAAATCAGAAGTTGCATCTGTAAAAGCTACTAATTTGAAAAACTCTGCTTTCTGGTTTTTAGCTGCACAAATATATATATCTTTCTAATTACCAACTGTGTCATTAGTATCAAGCAGTGAGTACAACTGGCCTGAAACCAATATAACTTAAAGCTAGCTGTAATTCTGTCTAAACTCTACTCTTTTTTGTAAATTCAAGAAACTATTGCAGTAATTGAGTTTTCTAAGCACTCAGATAAAAATGCCTTTATCCTTCACTATCCTTTGTGATACATTTTAAAACTTTATATACTCGGTCGGCATGGCTCAGTGGTTGAGTGTCGATCTATGAACCCTGGAGGTCACAGTTCGTTTCCCAGTTGGGGCATGTGCCTTGGTTATGGATTCGATCGTGTGGGTCGTGCAGGAGGCAGCTAATCAATTATTCTCTCTCATCATGGATGGTTCTGTCTCTCTTTCCCTCTCCCTTCCTCTTTGAAATCAATAAAAAAAAAAAACTATTTAAAAATTTTAAAAAACAACAACTCGATAAAAGTTAGAAAATAGATTCATTTTAGGTCATTCTCCATACTGTCACAAAAATCAAACTTTTCTCTTTTATTTTTTTTGTCCTGTTTATGTTCCAGATACCATACTCCTCAGCATCTCCTGGGAATTATGTAGTAAGTACATTTGGGTTTCTTTGCTCATAAGAATTGATGTTACGTTTTATTTGGGCAATGAATTTGTTGTCCAGATGTTAAGAAGAGCCCCTGTGTATTGGCCAAGATGTGAACAACTGATTTGTATTGAATTGTTTCGTCTGCCAACCTCAGTACATATGCTGATGTTCATTAGTGAAACAGTTATCAATCTGGCCAAGATTGCCCTGAGTACTGTGTCTTACTTTAGCATATGTTCCTGTAAACCTGTACAATACACTCTGCCCAATCATGAAGAAAGCCTTCCCCGGTTACACAATGATATGCTTGAATTTGCAGTTCTTCAGGAGGATAATATGCGTCCCTATTTCTCCACTTCCCACACACAAAGACTAAGAAGGCATTTAACTCTCCCAATCACAAAGATAACCAAATAGCTAAAAAACAAAAATTAAATTAAAAAAATGACTGGTAACGAGGAGGGATATTTTAAGTTATTTCATTCTTAGGAATTTAAAAGACTTATTTTTCTTTTTAACTGTTAGTACTTACTACATTTTTTAAATAACTCATATACACCTCAAATCAAATGAACAGATTTTACATGAGCTCTTGAACTTGCAAATGACCTTTGAACCATCATTACAATATAATCCTTGCTGCATCTCAAGGCCATTATAACACAGGGGAGAGGGGGATAAAAGTAGGTATACAGTTGTCCATATGGAAAATAATATATTAATTAATAAATAATAACACAAGAATCAACTCTGTGTTTCATATATTCACAACTGTAAACCTACTTTTGCCCCACCCTGTACTTAAGGGCCACTGCCTAACAGGGAAGCAAGGATAAAACTGTAAAAAGGAAAATCTTTCCTGAAGAAATTCTTCAGAAGTGGTGGCTAACTAGAGTAGGAAAAAGGAGTCCTTTTCCCTCCATGAAAATAGTGTGGTATGGATATAGTGAACAGCACACACCGCCTTGGACCTGTGCTCATTGTTTCCTTCAATTGTACAAACTAAAGAAGTCTCATAGTTTTCACATTTCCTATGAAACAAAAATGGCAGTAAGAAAAATGGGATAAAACCTATTTTTTCTTAAGAATAAGCTTAATATATATATATATGAGGTGGCCCAAAAAGTGTATACACACTTAATAGCTAATAGCTCAATTGATTTTTTTTTTAAATTTTCAGATTTCACCTGTTAAAATTAATAATTATTCAAGGTGTGTATACATTTTGGGACACCTTGTAGTTTTGTGAATGGAATATGTTTATTTGAATTGGAATTTAAATTGCTTATTAAATAGCAACTACATATGTCATTTGAAATAATTAATAGATTCTGTCTGCACACTCCAAATGAAGTGAAACTTGACCCATTTCCTAGTTATTTTGACTACTGTACATCTGAACTTATTGAATAATTTTAGAATTACCTAATCTCCATTTCAGGTGGATTGTGTAGCTGCAGCCTTAGTAACCCACAGCATTAGTCAGCATTGCCTCTCATTTCTGATTGATGTGAAAGATGAAGGTACAATGCTCCAGAAGGTTCACAATTGATACTGATAGAAGAAATAAATAGAATCAATGTATTTCTTAAACATAGAAATATCTTTTGGTTGTTAATTTCCTATAAGAGCCACGGATACAAAACATGAGAAACTTACAAGAAACTAAATCACAAATACACATAAATTACTTCTCTTTTATGGATTTGTAAAACCCTGATTAAATGGCTTCTCCTTAACCTTATTATACTTGGTGTGATTAAGTCATGAATAATAAATCAGTTTACAGGCTCATTGTTTTTGGGAAACTTGTCAAAATGATCTCAACATACTTAAACTGAATTATACTTCGCATAAGATTAAAATGACTGTACATTAAAAGAAAATAAATTTGGGGAAAATTGATTTTCTCTGATATTTGTAAATCATATTACTGTTAAAATAAGTCTAACTTTTCTTCTGTGTTTATTTATATTATTCAATTAAATGCCTTATTTTTACTGAAATTTTGTATAATTATTTAGGGTCCTCCGGGAGGTGGAGGGCCACCAGGAACACCCATCATGCCTAGTCCAGCAGGTATTGTAATCAGACTGGCCACACTGGCATTTGATTATTAGAATACAATAGAGAAATTGTTCTGAAAGTGAGTAGCATTCATTGTCTCATTGATGGATAAGGCATAGAGTAGAGATAGCAAGTAGGAAGAAACCATGTTCTTAAACACCCTATTGTCCAATTGCTTTAAGCATTTAGAAAATTTCTGTTATGTAGGTAACATATACTCAGGATGCAAATTGTATTGATCTGTGTGAATTGTCCAATAATTATCTGACTAAAAGATTCCTTGAGACTGTACCAAATCTCAAAATTTTAGAAAAATTCTGCATAAGTTAACACATGAAATGCATGGATTCATTAGGTTTAATACAGCAAATCTGACCCACCAATCTATTACCTTACTAAGATAGATGTACATGTACCTATAATATTAAAACAGTATGAAGTTTCCTTAAAAAAAAAAATTAGCCAAGACCAGTTTGGCTCAATGGATAGAGCGTCGGCTTGGGGACTGAAGGGTCCCGGGTTCGATTCCGGTCAAGGGCATGTACCTTGGTTGCGGGCATATCCCCAGTAGGGGGTGTGCAAGAGGCAGCTGATCGATGACTCTCATCGATGTTTCTAACTCTCTATCTCTCTCCCTTCCTCTCTGTACAAAATCAATAAAAATATATTTTAAAAAAAATTAAATGTCAAACGGCCATTTGGCCCAGTGATCCCACTTCTAGGAATATATCCTAAGAAACCTGATACATCAATCAGAAAAAATATACGAACCCCTATGTTCATAGCAGTGCAATTTTCCATAGCTAAGGCATGGAAATAGCCCAAATGCCCATCAATAGATGAGTGGATAAAAAAAAAGCTATGGTACATTTACACAATGGAATAGTAGTCAGCAGTATTTAAAAAAAAAAAAAAAAAAAAAAAAAAAAAAAAAAAAAAAGGATCTCTTACCTTCGAGACACCTGGAGAGTGCCTTATTTCATTATGCAAAGTGAAATAAGCCAGTCAGAGCAAGACAAGTATCACATGATCTCACTCATATGTGAATCTAATGAACAAAATAAACTGAGGAGCAAAATAGATCCAGAGACACAGAAGCATGGAACAGACTGACCAATCTCAGAGGGAAGGCAGGGGTGTAAGAGTGGGCGGGGAGAGGTTAACCATTAACCAGGGAATTTATATGCATATATGCATAGCCCATGGACACAGACAATAGCGTGGTGTCCAGATTATCTTCGATTATTTCTTTGTGATGAGTTAGATATAGATTATAAAGAAAGATATTAATTAAGTAATATTTTGTTTCAGATTCAACCAACTCTGGAGATAACATGTATACTTTAATGAACGCAGTACCTCCTGGACCTAACAGGCCTAATGTAAGTATGGATTTTAAAAAATTTTGTAATGTATCGAAGACTCAAACTCTTAGTGCATTCCATTTTTTGGATACTCTTTAAGGTTTATATTTTATAATCCAGGTGCTTAATGGATATCAAGAAAATAAAATTCTATATTCTGAGTTGAAAAAATATGACATATAACATATAAAATATTTCATATCAATATAATTTAAATGTAAAAGTGAACCTAATTATAAAATATTGGTGTATAATCTTATTTTATCACAAGTACTAGATAATTAATACTATTTGAAAATGACAGGTAATGTATAATTGATACCTCATTTTAACATTACTAATTTTTTATTGTGATTATATATATATATATTAGAATATATATATTTTATCCTGAGAAACTTGACAAGAAATAAGGAAGTGGGATATTCTTATTTTTCTCTAGATTTTGAAATCTGGAGTTTAAATATGGACCTGAGGCAGTTCTGCTGAAAGAATTTGGATGTTTTTATCAAGCATATGGTTGTGATTTTTTTTCCACAAAAACTTACAAGAAAATGATATTTTATTTATCTATGATACAAGACCTACATTTTAACAAAAATATTTCTAACAGAATTTAGTTACTACACAGATATGTATAATAAATATAGGGTAGCTCAATTAAAGAAAAAGCAGAAGGCATAAAAGAATTTTCATAGGTACTGAGAATGAAATAATTTTATAATGGAGCTTCCTAGCAGTAAAGACAGAAGGGAAACTGTAAATCTGACCAGTAGGGATGGTAGTTGAAAGTGGCTAGTCTGAAAGGAGATGTGCTGTCAGTATAACACTGAAGGCTTAGTATAAAAAAATAATGTAAAAGATCTCATTAAAATTTGAATATCAACTATATGTTGAAGTGAATAATTTTGATATAAAATATATTATTAAAATTATCCTCAGCTATTTCTTTTTACTTGTTAAACATGGCTGCCAGTAAATCTAAATTTAATTATGCAAGTTCACATTTGTGGCTTGCATATTGTTCCTATTAAGCAGTACTGACTCTAGTTATCACTATTCTCTTTATGGCATCAAATAAATGGTTTTTCAAGAAAATAAACAATTTCCTATCAATTATGTCTAAATGTGTTTTTACAGATATTTTAAAGAATAGTACTAAATATGATAATGAACAATGTTCATTTTAGAAATTCAGCAAAAAAAAAAATATAAAAATTTTACACTGCAATTTTATATCTTAAAACTTGATTTTTGAAAGGGAAGGAGCAAAGGAAGGAAACCCAGAGCATATGGTACTGAAGTCATTTTTGAGGGCAGCTAAGCTGACATTATCCAAGTATGTTCCACTCTGGATCTCTAACTCCATCCAAAGATAAGAGATCCAAGAACAGTAGGTGACCATGTCACTTTTTTAAATGTCATTCATCTCAGCCAGAGGTAGTAAAAGAAAATTCCTGCTGAGGACTAGGCCTGGAGTTTATGTGCTTCAAGTACATATATTATAGTCTATGAGGACCAGATAAAAAGACCAAAGTAAGTTCATGGACTATTGGCCTCCCCAGCACCAGTTTCTAAGCCCAGAACCATGTTTTTTCCAAAGGCTGAATAACAATTGTAAGTTTGAAGTTAATTTCTTTGACTTGTCAGTTAAGGCATACACATTCCAAGTTGTTTACTAAAAATCAATCCATGTGCTTTTAGGCAACAAATTTTTCGGAAACAGAATTGACATTACTTTGAGAAAATGTATAACATGTGATCTGTATCGTTGTAGCTGATGGATAGCCATCTTATTTCCACACAGTTGATAGTACACAGGTTATCTGCTGAGGGGAATTGTTTCCCCCCCAAAAAGCCCATGTGATTAGTAGCTACCACTGCCGATCAACACACATAAATACACATATACATGCACACATCGCATTCAATATTCTCTACCATACAACATGGAAGAAATGCTTTTGGCATGGGAAATTTTAAGAGCCAAGTGTTTTCAGTAGGTTGTCTTAATTGTAAAAAATAAGATAATACGGATAGCTTATGTTCAAACTGGGATCTGAGTTTCCTCAAAAGTATTTCAGGGAGATGAGGGAAAGATGGAGTGGGCAGACCGTGAGCTCGCCACCACCAGCTCTGCCACAGCACATCTGTTCACATCTGTTTTGTTGTTTTGTTTTGTTTTTAACCAAGCTTCTAAAGTAAGATTTCACTTGAAAATAAAATAAGTTAATGCCACTGCTTTTTAAAATGTTAATTATAACTGCTGTAGAATGATTGTCATTGAACTGACATAGTTGAGACTGCCAAGAAGGATTAGCTATATTCAGCTGTCCCCAAGGAGCTGAACATAAGGGGAGGGGCAAAAGTAGGTTTTTAGCTGTAAGTACGTAAAACACAGAGTTTATTCTTGTATTAAGACTTATTAATTATTGTATTACTTTCTATACAAACAATAGTAAACCTAGTTTTGCCATGCCCTGTATTTAACCTATAAGATGAAATTACTTATGTCCATTTGAACAAAAATAGATTGTCTGCTAAAAAAAATATTGTTGGTATAATAATGTAGGATCGTTCTTATTAATAAGGTATTAATAATCTTAGGTACTTCATAAAAATCACCTCTTGTTCCTAATAGTACAGTTTGTCAGTAGCATAGAAGAGAATGTTTATCATTTGCACTGACTGTATATGTTCCCTGCTGGAGGACAACTGAAGAAGAAAAATGTGGTTCTGAACAAGGATTAGTCTGAAGATCCAAACAGAGAGTGTATGAGAGGGGGGAGGTAGAGACTATAAGGTGGGAAAATAGCCAGGAAAATAATCTCTATGACTTGAAAATAAAAATAAGTTGTGGAATTATCTTAAAATGTTAAAGACAGATATTTTTAACATTGATATAAACAATTATTTTCAATGTTTTCATTTTTTAAATAGTTTCCAATGGGCCCTGGTTCAGATGGACCCATGGGTGGATTGGGAGGAATGGAGTCACATCACATGAATGGCTCGTTAGGTAAGGATATTACAAATAAATTAAAAACAAAACCTTAATTCTACATAGTGGGTATCACAGTTTGCCAAGTTCTTCTGTATACAGAAACTCATTTTGAAATGCTTCACCTTTTACCTCATCCTGATAGTTTAATCTACAGTGTATTGTTTATGATGACTATAGATGAACTGAAAATCAGAAATGTGAGATTTGTTCTAACCTAGCTCATATTCACAGGTATTTCTTTTAACCTATCAAATCTGGGTGTTTAATGAAAAAAGGAACACTGCTGATTTGAACATATGTCATGCATTCTTGTCTGCAGGACTACAATATCCTCCAACAGGTGTCTCTTTTTTCTAAGGTCTATAGATACAATCTCAGAGCAACTAGTGCTTTGCAAGAATCTTAACTTTTATTTGTATTTTAATGTTTGTCTCTATTTTAAAATAAAATTGGTATACTCTGGATAATTTGAATGATTCTCTTAAGAGAGAAAACTGCCCACATTTTTTTGTGTGTGTTCAGTGATAGAGCTGATTTCAAGAAGTATGATTACTGGTTGTAAACCTACTTTGTAAACAGTGCCTTCTTGCCAAATATCGATAAGGTGAACACAAAGTTCCACATAGTGAGAGACAGACACAAAAGGTACAAAATTGACTAGGTCATAGAGCCCACGTGTATAGGCAGGCCAAATGCAAAACCAAAAAACATATATATTCTATGTTTATGTGTTTAAGTACTAAACTAATGTAAGAGTTGCTACTGGACGTGGAGGTTTGTGATCTTTTTTATTCTTCTTTTGAAAATGGGCCTTCTTTTACTTAGATGGAGAAACTCTGCCCAGGAGTAACTTCGATTATACACAGATTTCACAGCCACACCAACGTCACTAAAGGACCTCCCCTGATACTTCGAAAAGCTGTAGAACCTCAATAATAGAAAAATCATTTGCAACACATTGGTAGAGTTTTCTGTTTTAAAGGATCCAAACAGAGAGATCTTTTTTTGCCTATATTTCAAAGTCTTAATTTTCACTGTCTAGTTATGGTAACCACTAGCCATGTGTGACTATTTAATTTTAAATTAAAAATAAATAAAATATTAGTTCGGTTCCTTAGTTGCACTGCCACATACCAGGTGCACAGAGCCACAGCTAGCTAAACAATTAGCTAGCATACTACCATAACGGTCAACACAGGAAAACATTTCCGTCATCACACAAAGTCCTACCAGACAGTACCATTCTAGAATTTTAGTTTCTGATTTCTTGCAAAATAATTTACTTTCCAGTCTTTTAATTTAGAGAGTTATCCACACAAAAAAAGATGACATTTGGTCTTAAAGCGTTCTCAATTATATTATTCACTACAATAGAATTTACAGAGGAGCTTCACATATGCTTCACATGTAGCTTATCATCTTCTATAATGAACTTTATTATACATATTTATATATGTACATAATTGCACATGTACATTCAGTGTTTACCTAGTATACCTACTTATTTATAAATTAATCATGTTAACAAGCCTTAACTGTATTTGTGATTGTTGATTGAATTCTGTACTATAAAACACTATAATATTTTTATGCCAGGAAGATTAATTGTTAAACTAAACCCATCTAATAAAGAGGGAATATGCTAATTGACCATCAAACCCTCACAAAGATGGTGGCATCCACAGCCAATAAAGAGGGAGTATGCTAATTGACTGTCACTCCTTCAAAGATAGCGGCGCCCACAGCCACAAGATGTCAGTGCCCAGTCCCCTCAGCCGCGCTGGGTCCAGCTGCTCTGTGCACCTGCCTCTGGAGTCCCCCAGTCCCCTCAGTCCCTCAGCCACTTAGGGCTGGCCAGAGGTGCAGGCAAGCCTTGGATGGTGGCTGCCCAGACTCAGGTAACCAGGGCCAGCCGAGGCTTGGGCTGTCGGCAATGGCAGCAATAGAGTAAGGTGACCAGATGTCCCCGCTTTTGGCAGGACAGTCCCAATTTTTAACAATTTATCCCGCATCCCGCAGTGTTTTAAAGTCCCGATCTTTCCAAAAATTGGGGACTATTTTAAAAACACCGTGGGATGCGGGACAAATTGTTAAAAATCAGGACTGTCCCGCCAAAAGCGGGATGTCTGGTCACCTTACAGTAGAGGTGTAATGGGGGCATCCCCTTCCCCTGATCGCCAGGCTGCCTCCAGCCCCTGAGGGCTCCCAGACTGTGAGAGGGGGCAGACTGGGCTGAGGGACCCCTCCCCCAGTGCATGAATGTTCATTCACCAGGACCCTAGTCTGTATAATAAAAGTCCAATGACTGTTACTGTGGACCTACCAGAACAACTGGCCACTACGACACGCACTGACCTCCAGGGGGCAGACGCTCAACACAGGAGCTGCCCCCTTGTGGTCAGTGTGCTCCCATAGGAGGGGTGCCACTCAGCCAGAAGCTGGGCTCAGGGCTGGCGAGCACAGCAGCAGTGGCGGGCGCCTCTCTCACCTCCCCGGCAGCACTAAGCCAGGCAGTGTGGAGCTAGCAGGTCGGAGGTTAGGAGTGAGGAGTCCCAGATTGTAAGAGGTCACAGGCCGGGCTGAGGTTCTCCCCTCACCATCCCCCACATGAACTTCGTGCATTGGGCGTTAGTGTAAAATAAAACTAATACTGGGGCAAAGATCTGATTATTGTTTCTTTATGCCAATAAGTATAATGTATGATTCCATTGCTTAAATAAGAAATTAGTATTGTTTATTCATTAAAATAATATTATATTTTGAAGACATTTTACTTTTGATAGATAGCTATGAATATTGATTGCTGTTAAATATGTGATATATTTAAAATACTTTGTTTTTGGTTATTGTACTAAAAAGTGGTTCTTGGGTATTATTGAAATCTTGTTAGGTATTATTAAAAACGTCCTTTTTATATTTTATCAGATTTAGATGCATAATGTCACAAAATAGAGATTTCTCTCTTACTCTCTATTTAAATGCATACACACACACACACACACACACACACACACACATATATATATATATATATATATATATATATATATATAATTAAAATAAAAATTTGAATTTGGTAGTATATATAAAGCTCTTCATTATTTTACTAACAGGAATTTATAATAACAATAGTTTCCTTAATTCTGCCATTACGAACAGAAAAACTAAATGATTAGGAACTAGAGGTGCAACTCTTCCATGTATTTACCATCAAATAATACTGATACCATTCAGTGTAAAAAAAAGGAATTTTTTTAAGATTAAAAATTCAGGAGATGTACACTGGGAAATACAACAGAAGTTTGCATATTGAAGAAGTACTTAATTTATAAATGAAATCAGTACCTCATAAAGACTTTTTTAAATTTTATTTTATTTTTACTTTGTTTCAGGCTCGGGAGATATGGACAGTATTTCCAAGGTGGGTACTCTGTATTCTGTATTGTTTTTTGTCTGTATTTTATTTCACACAGCATTCTCATTAAGATTATTAGAGTCACCTTATGAATTTTGTTCTTAAAGAAGAATTTGAAAGTAGAAGGTGAGCTATAATTAACTGTTAGTTTAAAAATTAATGTATATAAATCTGTGGGAAAGGGTAAATGTGAATCTTTCACGAATGTTCCTAACCATGCTAAGGTTCATTTACAGTATGCACTATCCCTGATAAATGGATACCTAAGTAATAGCCAATTTAATCATGTTATGTTATTATATATTTGTAAAGCAAACTGACATAATTTAGGTAATTTTTTAAAATGTAAAGAAGTCTATAGAAACATGAGAAGAGATAAATTTGAAAAAGTGATTGTTATATGTTATAAGGCCATTGCGTTTATACATCTCATTTGTCTTTCAAACCTTCCTTAGGAAATGCTGATGTCCCCAATCATTATTCTAGTTCCCCAAAATAGAGTATGAAAATAATTAGAGAAAAATTATAGTAATACAAGTAGGAAAGTGAGCCTTCAAAGAGCATGTGTCTGCATTTTTCTTTTTCTTTAAGAGTCTGAGTATCTAAAATTAATCCTTTGCTAAGATGCCTTATATATTTTTTTTTTTTTTGAAGAAGAAGAGTACCTAAATACTTTTTAGGTCATGATGAATTTAAAATAGTTCTCTGTGGATCAAAAATATATTTAGAATGGCTGATAAGAACTAATTCTTAACTACCACTAGAATGACTCTTAGAAGTCTACTTTATATGAATACAGAAATTCATTAAAGGATGACTTTAAATTTTTACTTCTGCTTCTAATTTATTTTCTAGTAAAATAATGTGAAATTCCCAATGCCAAGGAAAAGAAAATAAGATTAAGCTGCAAAACCTTTTAAATAATTCAAGCTAAAAAGAAAAATAGAGTGAGAGATAGTTTAATTGGCATTCTAACATTACATCTACACATCTGGCTTAAATGTCCTATGTACACTTTGGATCTCCGTGTCTAAGATCGATCAGAAAAGTCTTTTTTCTTTTCTAAAAACAGGTAAATGTTTATAACGCCAATAGCTTACTTCTGTGAGAAATAGTATTAGGTAAGCCTTCAAAAAGCTCATTTTCAATGTCAGAGTCCCCGTGAAACTCCAGCAGGGCCTTTTCTCTGGGCAGCTCCTCCACCAGTTCCATGTCTGATCCCATCAGCTGCCTTCGGTGCCTAACCACTGACAATAGCCGGATGGTGCTTTGTGGTCACCAGGGAAATTTCTAATGTTAGATTTCAGTAGCATGCCCTCGTATCTAACAAGGATTCTTCATTTCACAAAAGTGGGATCACCCGAACTACTTAAGACCATCTTCTAAAACTTCCACTACAACCCATAACTTTGTCCATTAGGTAGTTGTCAATAATTCTATATTGGAGAGTACTTGGTAATTTTTTAAGTATTTTGAAATGTTTCAATAGTGCCATAAGGACAAATTAAATACCATCTTCTAATCTGCCCCATATCAGGTCTGTTGCTGTGCCTTCTATGCTTATTTTCCCTTTCCCATTCCCAGAGACAGTTTTTTTTTTCTGGGGAAAAATGCTGCTGACAGCATTCTCTTGTCTAATGAGGTATTGCTTATTCTTTAAGCATCAATGAACCACCCATTGTATACTTTTGTGTACTGGGTACTGCCTTGTGCACGGTGGGGAGATACGATAGACTTCTTTAAGTACAAACATAATCTTTGTCCTCCAGTGGTTTATACTTAGGCAGCAGTTCCTTCAGTCAGTAAACATCAGTGCTGCCAAGGCGTTCTTCTAGGCTCTCAAAATTCAAAGATAAAAGAGGTAAGGTCTCTGCCTTAAGCTCAATATAACTAAGGAGACCAAACAAAAACAATAAGGAAAAACTTTTTCAAATCAGAATTCAAATACATTTCAATTAACATAATCATCATCTCCAAGTAATCTGTGAGCCACTTAGCAAAGCACTAGAAATGACGAGTTGCATCCACCTTCAGATGAACTCCTAAGCAACTCCTTCCTGCACCAACCCACCCAAGGCTGTCAGGGTGGTGGTGCCATCAGAGTCTGTCATGTCTCCAGTAAACTTTTCTCTAGTCTGCAGCATCATGGGTATTACACCCCCTACTCCAATTATTTTTCTCCTCACCTCTTTCCATTCACTGTCCAATTATTTGTCTTTTACTCTAAGCCATGCACATTGTCACCAACTCAGTTCCCCACCTTCTTCCTTTCCAACACTGTCCAACTGCCACACAAAACTCTTTTCTTCCTTTTTCCTGGGTTTGATCCCTCCCATCCTGTTCTTTTTCCTAGATTTCACAAGGATTTGCTTGTGAATCAGAAGATAATCTTGATCAGTACTGCTTAGCAGTTTGGTTCAAAAGCCCTCTTAGGTCTCCAGCTACATCTCCCCAGTTCCCCAGTTAAACCTGTATTTTATCAAGCATCAATATTACATATATTTTTTAAATGTCTTATTACATTTTTAAGTGTTGTCTTTTAGTACCATTTCAATTCTTTTTCTACTTTTAAATTGTAAATATATTCTTTTTTATGAGTTTTATATATAAGGTGGAGATTACTGAATTGAGAATCAGAAAGCCTTGTTCTACTACTTATAAGTTTTGGTGGCAACATGTTACTTGATTTCTCTTAGGCTTATCTTTCTTTGCTCTAAAATAAGAGATGGAGCTTATAATAAGAGATTGTGCCTTCTGATTTTTTTCAAACTTCATTCATTTTTTTCAAACTTTTCATTCATTTAATCAGTGGAACCAAACTATTATGCTTTGGAGTTGTTTTAGGAGTTGGGGTTAGAGAGGTTCATTTCTTACCTAATTCATAAAATGTTGAGAAAAATATGCTAAGGGCTATGAAACACTGTACAGATACTAAATGTTTTCCTTTTCATTATGCTACCTTTTGTGAACAAGGCTAGGAACCCACACTGTCAACTCCCCTTTGACAGCATTATTCCACTGGCGAAATGAACTCAGGGCTCCAAAGAGTTTTAACATGACTCTTGCTCAGTTGAGGATTACCTAGGAAAACTTATATGCATCTTTTTCATAATGCAGAATTCACCTTTAATTTAGAAGCCTTTTTTTAAAATATTTTTTTTATTGATTTCAAAGAGGGAAGATAAAGGGAGAGAGATATAGCATCAATGAGAATCATTGATTGGCTGTCTCTTGCACGCCCCTACTGGAGATTGAGCTGGCAACCTGGTCATGTACCCTTGACCAGAATCAAACCCAGGACCCTTCAGTCCACAGGCAGAGGCTCTATCCACTGAGCCAAACCAGCTAGGGCTCAAAGCCTTTTTTAATGAAAAGTAAAATTCTTGTCACCCCTTTTGCAACTGAGGAGTCATTCATTTAATCAGTGGAACCAAACTATTATGCCTTGGAATTGTTTTAGGAGTTGGGGTTAGAGAGGTGCATATATGGTTGTTTCCTCAGAAGGAATTCACCTAAATAAATTCTGCAGTTCACATTAAGATACTTAACATTTAGATTTTTTTAGTTTGAAAAAAATCAGAAGGCACAATCTGATCATGTCATGCATTTTATTTCATTCTCACTCACCTCACCCTTTTTTCAAACTGGAATGCTTCCCCTACTTAGGCTTTGACATCATATACAAATGCTATTTTAAATATGCATGTGCCTATGCGTGCATAAATTATCAAAGGAATCTTTCCAACCTGAAGCTTTCTAGCCTCATGAACCTTACTTCCAGTTCAGTATCCCACACCATTTGCAGGTTGCCCATTAACAACTACAGATCTCTGCCATCATCTCAGCTGCCACTGAGTTCTCGCTCACTTAACCCCCTGCGGGAACCAGGACTGGCAGTTTGTTCTTTTGGGCAAATGGCAGAGTCAAAACGACACTCTATAAACCTTGCTATTGCCTGTGAGAAATCAATTCAAAATTCACTTCCCAAGGGCTTAGAATACTGTCAAAATTATTTTCTTCCAATTATAGACAGCACAAATTTCTATAAGTGTTCCCCTTTTAAATAGCAGTTTGAAAGTTTTGGAGCAATTTCTGGGGATAGGTGGGAGAAGGAACAATAACTAACTAATTAAGAGATGATATGGAAGAATACTTGCAAGGTAAAAATCACAGAATAAGCTAAATAAATTAAATGTGTTAGCCAGAAGAAACTGGGTGTGTACAAGCCCACACACAGGCACATGTATACTTTACAATAGCATTTGTATATGATGTCATAGCTTAAGTAGGGGAAGCATTCCAGTTTGAAAAAAAGGGTGAGATGAGTGAGAATGAAATAAAATCCTTTGAAAATGGCATTAATATAATTTTAACTATAGTTTTTCAAGTTAAATTCTTAGAGTATAAGTAAGGAATGAAGTACACATTAACTGAAGTAGCAAAGGCAACCTCAAAGGCCTAAGGTTGCTGAAAGTAAATGTTGCTTGTATTCTTTTGTGCTCTGTACTCCCTAATTATATGCTTAAGCAACTGGAGTGCCTTTTTGACCCACCTAAGCCCTTTTTGTGCATTATATTCTTGCCTTTATGATAAAATCTACTGCGCACTGCACACAAACATACCTACGGTTAACTGAAATATACACCCAGCTCATTGCCACCCGCCCTCATGACCTGCTCCAGCCGGTGTTTGGAACCATCTGGATTGAGTGGCTCAGTGACCGTGGACAGCACAATCTCCTTAAGACCCCCCATCAGAAACTCTTGTTGTTTTTTGCAGCATTTTGCAGAGATTACTTCAGGTTTTTAAAAAAGATTTCAAGATTTTCAAACATGCCCAGCGAACTAGAAAGGAGTAGATTTCAGAGATCTGATATTAGTTCAGTTTTGTGTGTTGAATGTGTCCTTTTAATCTTCCTCTTGGTGTTCTTATATAACCCCACACACACAAAAGTGTGCAAACAGCCAAGAATAAAAATAATAACACTGGGAGTGTTTTAAAAACATTTCTTCTAAATATTCTTCTAAATATTTTCTAGATATTTAAATAGGAGTGCAATATTACTTCCAAATTTCAAATATTTTTAAATCAACACTTTGAGTCAGGAATCAGATTTTAAGTTAGATAAAATTGTAAATCAAAAAATGAGATGTGGCAAAAGTGCAGCCGAGTCTGAGAACGCCATGACTCAATCAGATATGCTGCTCCTCGGTAGCACCTCAGGAACTACTGGGGATGTGACTGTTACACTGAAATGGAGAGGGCATATTGCATAGATTTGTTTGAATAAGAAGTCTTCAGCTCCCAGGTGCATCCTCATATACCCTTAGATAGATGCTAGATTCTTTTTTATTCTAAGATTATCTATTTCTCCATATATAGGAAATGACAGAAATTTGCCTTCACCAAAAAAAACCTAGATTTGGGGTAAATCTTTAAATATTTGTATAAACTTACTTTTATTTTTTTACCTAAGTCAGCATTATCATTCCCACTTTATGATTAGTTAGTAACTTTAATCATGAATAAGTATAGCTTTGTTAGTTGCACTTACTAAGGGTTTTTTGGAAATCAAGTTATTCATGTTCATTTCAATATAGATATGCTTTTCAATATACTTGGAAAACTAACATTTTTAAAGAAGAATTTGTTTTTAAAAAAAAAACAAAAAACAGAGAGTTCTCGTTCTGCTATTAAACATGGTTCCCCAGCGGGTGTGGTCCATTGGCAAATGGAGCTCCTGTGGACACGGAGGCTCCTGGTTGTCAGGTGCTCCCTGTGGGGTGCACAGCAGCACCACATGCCAGCGGGGCGGCACCGGTTCCTGTACCTGTGTCTGCTCTGCAGCTTAGCCTCATTTTTAAAAAAGCACATAGTCTCACTCATACAGTTTTAAACTTTATGACACAACTTGTCTTGAGCTAAGTCAAATCCCCAGTGCAATTTTCTTTTAAACAGCCAAAAACAGAGTGTACAATATCAGTGGCTTAGGGGGGAAAAATATTAAATCTTTCTCTCACTTGAAATAACAAATAAAAAATTTTAACTTTGAAGTTTCTTTTTACAAGTCTATAAACTGGACCCCAAGTCCCTCGGTTACAGTCATAGTCACAGAACTATGTGAATGTGCTTTGTACACCACTGCCATTCAGTTCATATTTCCTCTAGAGGTGGAGTAGCAGATGGCCTCACAGGGCTAAAATTGTACGGAAATAACTAGACTAGCAAATTTAAATAGAACCTGGAGTGATGTACTGCTTAGTGTTTGATTAGACTGTTAATATCAGCCATTTTATCTTAAAGGAAAGTTTCAAAGTAAATCATCTCTTAAACTAATGGTAGAAAAAAAGGTTCTGAAGCAGGTTCCTCTCGGAGCCTTCTTTTCCTCTAAAAGTACATATTGAATTCTCAGGGCTTAAGGTATTTCTCTTGTTCTTAACCATAGTTGTTAACTCTCTTCTTTCCTTTTCCTTATGGTTCATATAAAAATAATGGTTAAAATAGTGTTACTGTGTAAACCGTATGTGGAATGAAAGGGAAACGTTTATGAAAACGATGATCTTTTGACATTTGACTAATAAAATTACCAGGAGAAGGTGTCATTCCGTCATGCCTGATCAGTAGGTTGGCTCTTCACCGTGCCCCTGCTGGAAATGTGTTTTAAACTCTCCAGAGTTCTAGGAACTCTGCAAGCTGAGGGTGGGAAATTGAATAAATATTGATTCTGAGACTAAGCAAAAGAGTTGTGGTGGGTTATTTCGGGTGTTCTGTGTGTTTTTTAATTTTCATTTGGGAAAGCATTAGTACTTGTCAAGGTTCAAAGAATGAACCAGAAAACATGCTCTAAGATTAGAATCACAAGTTGGCTTTGTCCGTAGAGATGCTGCTATAGATTCCAATTTTGAAACAGTACAATGCAAGAGGGAAATTAAAATCTTCAACAATGCCTTGTTTTCTAAATCTTGTTTACAGAACTCTCCCAATAATATGAGCCTGAGTAATCAACCGGGCACTCCAAGGGATGATAGCGAAATGGGGGGAAATTTCTTAAATCCTTTTCAGAGTGAGAGTGTAAGTATTTCCTTGACTACATTATTATATCCAGATTTTATTTCTGAAGCTCTTCTATTAGAAGTAATGCATACAACCATTATTACAACTGTTTAGAGTTCAATAGTTTGGTCTTTTAAAAGTCAGAATATGAAGTGAAATTTCTTTGAAAAAAAAATTAAAAATAAACTTTTTCTTTTTTACTCCCATGTACATAATTACAAAAAAAAATTATAATGCTAACTTTCTCATAGAGAACATCCACCATCAGGAACACACTGGAATCAGGTTGCATATTTGAAAGTTTTTGTAAATTCTCCCATTACTAAAATGTCTTGCTTGGATCGCTGCAAACCCAGGTCTCTGATTAGTGCTGTCTGTCCTTAAGGCTCTAAAAATTATCTAGATATCTGTATTCCACTAGACCTCACTCCCTGGTTTCACATTGGTAACCTGTTTTTCACGTTTAATCTAAACTGGCTACCCAGTTTCTTTATTGAGTGTGAGTATAGTGTTAAGCAAAGGTAATATCATTCATCCTCCATAGAGGTAGATAAGAACAAAAAGAGAAGCAATAGAATTCACTTGTTCGTTTAATAAACAGTTACTGGGCATGGGCAATGGGCTGTGCTAGGGACTGGTGAGACCAAAAAGACAAAGTGGTGTCCTTTTTTCAAGGTGTCATTATACAATACAAACACTTTTAAACTAATGTTTCACATTAAAATAGAATTTGCCAGAACCCTCCCTAGACCTAGTGAATCAGAATTTCCAGGAGGGGAGCTGGGCAAACCTGAAGGTGCAGAAGCTTTGTAGGTGCTGCTGCTGCTGCTGCTGCACATTCTCTGCTCAGAACTATGGGACTGGAACACAGCGGAAAGAATTTCAGATGAATTTCACAGTCATAGGGCTAGTGCCCCCACACATGATCACCATCTCTAAAACTGATTACGGAGGATCTACCAAACTGCAGACAGATTCCGAAGGAAAACCCACCCTCATTTTAGCCTAATTCAACCTTTTGTAGAGGAGACACCCTCAGAGTTTGAAACGGTGACTAGTAACTTTCCCACTTTTGCACAGAACAGTGCTTTCCAAATGGAACCCAAAACTGGGTTTGACTTCTTGACCTAGCGCACCTGCATGGGATAAGACCGGCCCTCATTTTTTACTTGACTTCTGTTAAAACTAGAAATGCAGTTATGCTGATCTTTGGTTTGTGTGTTTTATTTCCAGGATATATAAACAAAGGTGTGAGAAAAAGCAGATTTACAGTTGTGAGTAGGCAAAAGGAGCTTATTTGTGTAGCATTATTATTATTTACTAATTATATTATTTTCCATACAAACAACTGTAAACTTGCTTTTGCCCCACTCTGTGTATATGTATGTTAGTAAGGATAAAGAAGGCATACATAAAAATTCATATTAAAAAATCAAGAATAGCCCATTCATGATGAGGAAATAGGAAATACATGAGAGACTATATAGTTTATCATAATGCTTAGGGTTATGGAAATTATTTCTTAGACCCTGGTTCTTTCATTAGTTTGTTGCAAGACTATGGACCAATTAATTAATTTTAAATAATTAGTTAATGGTTACTTGATCTAATTAGATGCATTTATTTTTATGCTAATTCTTCTAGCAACAAAATGCTGTAAATTAGTGAGGTATATGATAATTACTTCAGTTCAATTCAACATTTATTGAGCCTGCTTTATGCAAAGCACTAGGTGAAGGACAAAGTATTCTGAGATAAATATAACACATCCCTAACCTCAAAAAATATAATCAGATGGGGAAAACATACTTACAAAACTAATTAAACTATATGTCAGAGTAATAAGTACTATCATAGATATAAGCCAGGTGTTTTAAAAGCATATAGGAAATTATTTATTTTAGATTGGATAAGAAAACTTCTTTGAAAGTTTCCACATGACCTGAACTCCAGAGGCGCTGTTCCCTCTCCTTCCTCCCAGATCGGTCATTCCTGACTGCTGCCTTGTTCACAGGGAAGGGGGTGCCACCTCAGAGTTGGCACCAGATTCTCCCTATGGCTATCAAAGAATCAGATATAACAGGACTTTAAAATACATTTTATTGATTTTTTTACAGAGAGGAATAGAGAGTTAGAAACACTGATGAGAGAGAATCATCAATCAGCTGCCTCTTGTACACCCTCCAATGGGGATGTGTCTGCAACCAAGGTACATGCCCTTGACTGGAATCGAACCTGGGACCTTTCAGTCCACAGGCCAATGCTCTATCCACTGAAACTGCTTTCGCCTATAACAGGACTTTAAAAGGGTTTGTGCAGAATACACACCAGCCTCACCCTTTCGCCCCAATGGGAGTATGTTCACGTAAAACAGCAGGTCCTTTTGTGAATCTGTGCACAGAAAAGAGAGCAGCTGGAGTAGGGCCTCGCCCACCCTGACCCCTGCCCTGGAGGCCTAGAGGAAGGTAGAATGCTCTGCAGGGTTAGGGAAAACAGGCCCCACCTTTTCTTCTCCCTCCCGCTCTCCCAGCCCCACCAGAAAAGTCCCCAAAGGCAAAATAATTGGATGGTGGTCTAGAAAGGGCACCCCCACCAGCAGGTAGCAGGTCCCCCTGGGGCTCCATTCTCCTGCTCACCTGGGGAGGGCTCTGCCTTAAGGATGATGTCATTGTTTTCTATGGTTTTCTCTATCATGTTACCACACATTTAGACTTTTTTTAAAAAAAGATCAAGAAATGAGAGCAGAGAGGAAGGAAGACAAGAGAGATTCCTTGCTGACATGTGGAAGGCCTTAGAAAGAAGTAGACCAGGTGTTCTCCAATGAGATTAAGGTCTACAAGGCCCCTTTCTGCCACTCCCCAGTGAGCTGACAGCAGCCCTGCCTGGGCTCTCCCCCGTTGCTGCTTCTGTCCTAAGACCTTCCCTGTTTCACTGTCCCCAGCTTTAATAAACATACTTTCAAAAGGAAATTTTCCAATGAATAAACATTAAAAGTTCGTGGGTTTTGTTTTTTTTTTAATGCCCATAAGTCTGAAAAGCACATATTGCTGAGCAGTCTGACTTTTGAAGATTTGTTGGTCTTTATCTTGAAGTTAAAGGGCAGAAAGAGGCCTGGGAAGGAAGCAGACATCTATTGAGTGTTTATCATGTACACACACTATCCTGGTCACTTCACATGTGCTTCTTCATTTAATTCCTCTAGAAACAAAGATTCCCCACCCGAAGGCAGAAACCTTGCAATGCCAACGTGCTTTACACAGAAACATGTGAACTGGGAATGTCACTGTTCTTTAGATCCTAAACAGAGTCTCTATTCCAAGAAACAAAGATGCCCCCTAGTGTAAATTCGATGAAATGTTTGATATTGAAAATACAGAATACAAAAAGGCTTAGTTCAAAAAAAAATAAATGCTTCATGCTTCTCAAGTAAAAAAGACACTTAACCTTATTTCTTGAATTAACTTAGCAGAATATTTCCTCCATGGCATTAAACTGTAATCAACTGAGCAAACATGATATTAAAATCATGGTATCAATTAACAATCATAAGCAAACTGCGAGATCATCTCTTACGCCCTTACCGCCTTTGTCATTTTCTGTTCTTGCAAAGAAATCACACATAGCCAATGTTTTTTTGCATAGTCACACACACACTGAATGTATCTCACTTTAGTTTTGCTCAGAGTAGCTGCAGTATGTTTATCTCTCATTAAGAAAAGAAAATGTAATTTATGTATGTAGAAATAGAAATTTAGTGAGATCTGAGGTGTTCTTGACGTGATTAAACAGGAATTTACATTGTTTGGGATTTAATGGACATCATGCACATTCCATGCACACGAGAGGGGTGCACTAAAGGGAAAACCGTAGATTCTCTAGTACATACCAAGGCATGTTCATTTCAAAATATATTTTACATAAAAAGTAAAAATTTTTATTTTTACCTTTATTTTACATAAAAGGTAAAACAAGCTGGTATGTGCTGAAAATTATACCTTGAGGTTTCACTCTTTTGGTGCCAAACCAAACACTAGAGCTGTCAGCAGCTTATCAGAGCCATTTTATCATCTACGGGAGGAGAACCAGACTCAGAACAGTTTTGAAACAGGACAACCCGAGATCCCAGGACTCTGCCACTCACATGACAGTGTGTCTTCACATACTGAGGCGGCCACACGAGGCACACATTGCAGTGTGGCCGAGGAGAGTACCCCGTGAATATTTAATGTCTACATCTGATACCCCATTTAGCACCAACTCTTCCTTCACTTCTGGAAAACTCTGAGCCACTTCTCCTCTGAAGAACAGTAACCAGTAGCAGAATACCCTTTTCCATGCACCTACTGTGAGTTGTTCTAGAAATTTTGCAATGTTCCTTCGTTCTACTTAGTTGAAGCATTTCCAGTAAAGCAGCAGCAGATGAGCAGGTGGTAGCCTTAGCCATGCAAACAATACACCCCTCTGTAGACACTCAGACACCCGTGCAATCTAGTTCCCTGCACCAGGCACACACAGCATTGTTTCACAGCTACTCAGACTATGCAGACACCATCAGCAGACACTCGCTGATTTTTCTGAGTTGCTTGCTTGGAGCTTCCTTCCTTTCTGACTGACCCTTACTTTCTCCTTTTTTTTTTTGCTTTATTTTTTCAATTAGTTTCCTCCCCAGACAAGCCTCGCTCTCCTAACTTCCCAGTGAATCTGTAACAGGATTTCATTTTTCTGTGAAATGTTTGAAATATCACAGGACCAAAATCTTAACAATTACCACTATAAAAAGATAGTAGCAACTAATGAACATGCTTTACATGCAGAGAATGTATATATATACTTATTTACCTGCACCTATACTTTTGACAGTGTATATTAGAAAGAAGGCTATAGTATATCTATAACTGCATTCCCTAAAATGACATGACATGTGTGACATGAGAATTGGCTGCAATAATCCTATGAAAAAGGATTGAAGAATTTCTAAAATCCCTATGACCCAGGATGTGCGTTAAATGAGATGGGCTCTGGAGTTCATTATGACTTCTCCAGAAGTTTTTTTTATTTTTTTCAGACATCTCCTTTGAAGTTTTTTTTTTTTAATGCTTTAGTATCTTTTACTGTTTTTAGATTATTGGCACAATATGCCCAATAAAATATTTGCCTTGAAGTAATTTGGCTGTGTTATTTAAATTTAAATTAATTATAATAAAATACAACTAAAATCTCACTTCCTACCCTGCACTAGCTACATTGTAAGAGTCAGTTGCCATGTGTGGCTAGTGGCTGCTGCATGAGACAGCACAGAAAACACCCACCACCAATCGCAGAAAGTCCTATTGGACAGCACTGCTGGGATCTTACTGTAAATAACAGTAGCTGTAGAAAGCATAGATTGCATTTTTCTGTGCCCATTTTTTTTTTGCCATATTCTCTAAGTTTTTCTACTTTTAATAAAACCTTTCTATCCATTTATTTTCCTGTTGTTTATTCTTACACCTGAAAGTCAAATACCAAAATATAATTCCGTCTCATCAAAAGCTGTTCATAGCTCATTGAAGCTTGCTGCCATTGTTTGCGATGGGAGATTTGCATGGTGCCTTCTGATGAAATGGGAGCACAACCCCCTTCCAGCACCGGGTCCGGGGTGAGCTCCATTTCATCAGTCCTTGTTCCTGATCCTTGTTGGTTTTGGGTTTTGCTTTGCTTTGCTTTTTTTGCTGCCATTATCAAGGGTAACAGGGAGAAGTTTTCTATCCAACTGAATCCCCTTTCTCTTCCCTGGCAATCTTTTTTTTTTTTTTTAATCACCTTATTCCCTGTAATACAACATATAGAGTCAGCAACATATAATTTAGCTTTCTTACCCTGAAAAGAAGTTTGAGGCTATTAAGTGACTAACCAGCAGGTTTTTCTTGATTTGGCCTGTGTTTAAAAGATGAACACAGTCATCCCTATAGTCTGGTGACCTGTTTTCAGGCCTGGTCATCCACCTTTACTCAAGATCAATGAGTGTATTTTATTGGAGCCCTGGATTTACGCCTAATGACTTTCTGTCCAGACTTCTGCCAACTGGGCTATTGTCAACTTCTGTTCTTCCTTGGGAACTTCATTTTTTCTACATTAATAAGTCCATCCTTTTCTAAGGATACGCCTTTCACCTTGTTTCCGGTTCCTCAATACCTCAGCTCATGTGGAATCAGGTCATGCCTTCCCATCTGCTCCCTTTTATAAAGTGTGCACTCCTTTTCCAGGGTCATCTCTGGTCCAGGTTAAGTCCCTGGGACCTGGGACCTGGGACCAACCCCCTTGACTTGCCCTGCCTCCGTCCACAGGCACAATCATTACTAACACATGAAAAGGAACTCCCCTTCGCCCTTGGCCTCTTAGGTTTCTACTAAAACACATGTAGTATTTCAGGGCACACGTGTGTATTTTAATCTAGAAACGCTCTTGGGATTGGAGGCTCTGCCCTTTTGTCAGAGACTGTGGAACTATGCTGACCAAGATGTGGGCCACAGGCTATTTGGGGATATTTAAACTTAAGTAAATTAAGTAACCTTCCAATGTTACTTCCTCGGTAGCATTGCCAATGTATCATGTGCTCAGTAGCCACAGGTAGCTAGTGGCCTTTATGTTGGGCAGCACAGTCTTAAAACATGTCCATCATTAAAGAAAGTTCTGTTGGAAGGTGCTGCTCTAGAACTTTCCTATCACAGTCTGTCCCTCAAGAACAGGAGGGTAGATTGGCATAATCATACAAATAACTCCTCTCAATCCCTCTCCCTTTCATTTTTGAGACAACTTGCAAATTTCTGAAACCCTCACCGAATCCAACCGACAAGAAACATGAGGCAACAACCCCCTACCCCCACCCAGAAAAGACTGTGGGTTGAGATTAGATTAGGGAAGATACTTACGTGCTAGGTATAGCTAGACTTTAATATTCTAAGTGCTTTAATGATAACTTCTTAGGGCCACCTGCGAGTTACACTGTTAATCAAATATTTACTGAGTCTTTGCCATGTAGTCAATCAGTACTTGGTTTTAAGGGTTATATATTTAATCTTCCCAAAATCCCATTAAAGTGGATGGTATCAATAAACCCACTGTAGAGGTGAGGAAACTGAAGTGCAGAAAACTTAGGTAACCTCCCAAGTTTGCATGGCTAGTAAATACAAGACTGTCCCTCCACCTTATTTAATTATGCTTCAGCCTTGGACTGGATTTACCCAAATTCTAAGAAATGCCCATGAATCTCCTGGAAGGAAAAAGCTGAGGAACTGGGTAATTATCATCCACCTGAGTCCAGGGAGAGAATGTGAATGGTTACTTTGCAGAAAAAAATGTTTAAAATTTCAGGACTAAGTCAACTCTAGATGCATTTATTCTTTTTATAGTTTCTTATTTTTATGTTGTGTGAGGTTAAAAGCTTGAGCATAAAAAATTATAAGACATTAAAATTCATAGTTACTGTTGTTTACCACGAAGAGCATTAGTGGTCTGTAAGAGAATTGTTGTTAAAATATGGATTCTTCTCTCTTTCTAGTATTCCCCTAGCATGACAATGAGTGTGTGATCCATTACCAAGTCTCCTCATGAAAACCACAGTGAGTCAGCCCTTCACAGAACTACTAGGGAAGAACATTATTCATCACAGTGTACAGTTAAACAAAGGAATCTCAGTCACACCAAACCAACCTTTTTATTTCCTGCTCTCTCCCCTATTTTGTGAAGAAAGCGGGTCCAAACGTGATTCAAACAACTGTACGGAGCGGCATATGAGCATTACCCTGAAATGAACTGCAAATAATTATCTGTGTATGTATATGTGTGGGAAAGAGGATGTATTGTATATGTGTATGTTATATGGACATATACACATGCATACATTGGCCCACAGGACATTGTAGAATACTATCACAATGACATCTTATGTAGAAATGAGTAGGGACTTTTATTTCATCCTTTTTTTTTTTTCACGTTTACATTTTAATTATTAAAAGTTGCTCCTGCCCCTCCCTGAGCTATTTTGTGCTGTGTATATCACTGCTTTATATAAGTTATTTTTTAAGGTGAACTCAGATGTTATGGTTTTGTAAATGTCTGCAATCATGGATAGGAATAAAATCGCTTATTTGAGAGCTTTCATTAAATTGCGTCTGATGCAAGTTACCCTGTGAATCACAAAGTGTACTGTTTCCAAAAAAAAAAAAAAGAAGAAGAAGAAGAAACTGTCTTCATCTTTATGTCAAATCAAGCAATTTCTCAGTTACTGTTAGTGAAAATATTTTTGTACCATTGTTTAAAAAAAAATACGTCAACAAAAGCTTACCTGGGACCTACCAGTGTGTTTCTGCAATAACTGCTTTAGATGAAATTCTTGATTTGTTTGTCTTAGATTATACAGAAAACCCTTAATTAGTACCAATTGCTTAGGACACAGCAATAACGTGACGGGGCTTGTCATGTTTTTAGCAACATATTTTCTCTTTATACCACGATAAAAACCAGAGAGATCAGAAAAACCATTTGCTTGAATCTGTCACTTCTCACCAGGAATACTAGAGCTAAATTTTAAGTAACAAACTAATGTGAAATGGTATCTGATTTTCATTCTGACCTTTTGTGAACATTTCCCACACGGACGTTGCAGAGGAGATGCATTCAGATAACTGAGGTTTTCAGCACAAGGAGGAGCCAGGTTTTCCCACACCCAGGGCCCGGGGTGCTGCCTGCCTGCCCGGGTGCAGCTTCCAGCAGCAGGAGGACCCGCTGGGCACTGGACCCGCTGCAGAGCTCCCTCTTTCTGCCCAGGCCTCAGACCGATACTGAAATTATTTAGAGCAACTGCATTTAGTTTGGCCATTGACTTCAGCAGGCTACATCTACATTGTGTCACTGTTCAGAAAAAAAAAAAATGAGTAAATGCTAGAAAAAACAATTTTAACCACTTTTCTTATGAAAGCCCCTTGCCCCATGGCACTTTCCAGATCTTTGGGGATTTTTTGTGTGTGCCATCCTAGCTACAGACACCAAAATTATAATAGAAAAGTGTGACAACTTTAATTGTAGACTCTGAGAGCTAAGTTGGTAATCTTTTCTGTTAGAAATTGTGATATAAATAACCACTGATAAACATTCACTATGTTTTCAAACTCCAGAGACTTTGAAAAGCATTGTTTAATTTCCAGTAAGAGGACACCTTCTTTCTGTAGGCTCATGGTCTCTAACATGAAAATTTGGCAGTGTGTTTGCTAATTCCTGAGCCAGGTTATTATTTCTCTTAAAATTTGTAGTGATCTCTATTCCTTATGATAATAAAGAGCTTGCCTGTGCATGACACAGGGGTGCTGGGCAGAACTGTTGAAGGGAAAGAGAGAGGCCAGGTTAAATGTATGTTCGGATTTAAGTTCTAATCAAAGGAGTCGCCGTTGCATCGTGTGCAGAAACCGAGGACTGCGCACTGGAGAACAGCTTCGGGTTTTCAAGGACTTTCGTGAAGAATTCGAACTAAAAGGTCTGTTTGACTCAAGCCAAGGCAGCTTCAAGATGACACAATGTACTGGCACATAAATTTACTGAATAATTTTAACTTTCACTGTATGTGGTAACTGTGTGAGCACCGGCAGTCCTGTGGTTAAGCGCTATCTAGAACTTTCAAATGTTTGGTTGAGTCTTTTCTTCATTGTTACTGATCTTGAATTTCTTTTGCCTTCTAAGAAGGTGTTGTTTCTTATTATCACAAAGAATCATGAACCTTATTTTAGTTGGCCCTTATTTTAGGGGTAATATTGGAATATAATTAGTTATATGGGACCCCTTATTTCTAGCCTATTTGGTTAAAAAATAATATTTGATTTTTTTTTCAGGTTATTGCAATCAACTCTTCATTACGTGCTTTTCTCTCTTGGAACCCAGATTAAAAATAGTTATTTCAAATTTTTTAAATTCCAGGAATGGTTGAAATTTTATTTTTAAGGAAAAATTATACTCAAGAGAACCATAAAATAAGGATACTTAATTTTAATATCAAATACTTTTCTCATGTACCAAATAGAGGATTCTATGTATATTAATTTTTGTTTAGGTTATGATTCATTTAAACCTTCTTTTCTCTTATAAGAGGACAATGTTTTATCTTGTGTTTTCCATCTCCATCCATGTTTTTGTTTGTTTTTTATATAGAATGCCTTTTCCTGAGTTATTTCTACATATTTCACCTCACAGTAATAATGTCAGCAATTCTTGCCTACATTGAACATAGAAAATACACATATGAAATGTGAAAATAAGTAATGGATGAAAACGTTAATTCTCATTACTCTGCTTTGCATTCTGCCTAACTCACATGGTTGAAAATACATGTCAGATTATCTCTAAGGTATGTATAATCTTTACCAGCTGTCTTTCTTATAGTCAAGTTGCCATGGGAACAAAGGCTATGGAGGGCCATTGATCTGGTAACACACACATGTTCGGTGGGTGGATATTTGTGCTCCTTTTCAATGTTCCAGTTTGGACTAAGTCAGTGATGAATACGAATTACACAGCTAGGAATCTGAGGTTAAGTTTTCTCTACTGCCAAAGATTAATATATTAATTTTGCTCTCCGACCCAAAACACCCCTTTCCTTTTAGGAATAAAATAGAGAAAACTTCCATTTCTATTTTTTATGATTCTCTAAGATGTCTGAACTCTATTGCATTTCATGGGTCATCCAGTTACCACTCTTCCTGCAGTTTAAAACGCAGCCAATGAAATAAAGGAGTTCAGTTTGGGACATAGGAAGCATACATCTGTCCATACCATTTTTTCCATCATCATTCTGGGAATATGCAGCAGCAAAGCATCCAGAACTCCCGTGGCAGAAAGTTTGCCAGTCCTTCATACTTGACCTGATGGTTTCTTTTTAAATTAATTTCTTTATTGATTAAGGTATCACATATTTGTCCTCAACCCCCCATTCCAATCCCCCCCCACTCATGCCCCCACTGATTGTTTCTTGTTTCTTGCGTGACTTTCTCCATCCCTCCCTCCCTCCTAGTCCCTGCACCTTCCAGTAGAAATAAGATGCAGACTGAACATTTTTATCTCCTGAGCCCTTACAGTTTTCTTCTTCATATAGTATAGTTTTTCCAGGGGAATTCATTGCAATTTCCATTTCTTGATTATCACAGTTAATTGGAAACAGAGCCACCAAGCATGGCTTCTTCACTTTGGTAAGCATTATAGTATTTTGACACTCGTTTTCCCTCCATTTTGATGTGTTAGGTACTATCATTCTCTTTCTTGAAAACTGATAAGTGGTGCAGGAGTGGATAGTGAGAGAGAAGTTTGATATGGAGGGGGAATAGTTGCCCAGAATATTTCCAAAAAGTGGATTAGTCCTTTTTTGTTTAACCCCTCGAGGTGAATAATTTTCTTATTTGCTGTGAGAAACAGGAGTCTGTGCTTGCTTAAAAGAGTAATACCCAATTGTAAGCATGTGTAAGGGGCTTCCTAGGTCTGAACCATACCTTGAGAAAGGCTTGAAACATTAAAAAAAAAAAATGGTAAACCACTAGGAATACTTTTCCATTTTGCATACTCAGTGTGTGTGTGTGTGTGTGTGTGTGTGTGTGTGTGTGTGTGCGCGCACGCGCGCACAGGTCTGTTGGGGATGGTAGTGTGAAGTTGGCTCACAAAACACTCCCACTATGATTTACATTATTATAGCACAACTGGTAACTGTTCAACATGGTTCTTTCCTTTGATTGCTTTTTATTGCATTGGTAAAGTAAGTGATGGAAGTGATTTAGGATGAAAAGAGAGCAGTACAGACATAAGCAGATGGATCTCCTGTGCCCAGCTTTAACCTACCCATGTCAGCTCATCCACATTAGGCCCCCTTATGAAGGCACTGCATCTAAGGTAAGATCATAAATGATCATTTCATCGTTAGTCACTTCACTTCCAGGAATCGTGCAGTAATTAAGTGTAGTTTTTTTGATGTTGACATTTGTTTACAATAAGTAAGTAGAATTGACATTCTTAATTTATTTCACCATTGCCCGTGGAACTGTAATTCAGATAGAGATGACCTACAGATGAAAAACACCTGAGATCTCTCTAATTACTCTTCTAAACTATATTCTAAAAAGAAATTCTCAGTTGAATAAGTCTCCTAAACAGAGTTTCCTCTGTTAAGTTTTCCCTGTTAACTTAGTATAATTGGTCTTCCTGAATAGAAAAGCATACTTTCTGTAGGTAACCTAACGTAAATATTTTTGCTGTCTACATCCTTATAAATTAAGTACAGCACTCTCTATAGGTATTATACATTTTAAAGTGGGACTAAATGTTTTCATGTATAAAATTAGCTTATGTCTTCCCTCTCTGTGGATTTACTATCCCCAGGATAAATTGGACTAATTTTGATGATCCCAGTCATTGAAATGCTATGATCTGTTCCCAGGAATATATAGCATTTCATTTTTAAAATAAACTGCAATTAACATGACAAAGGTGAGTGTTAATATTTCTAGAAAAGTGATATAAAGGGTTTATTCCCAGTTCACATTAAAACTTTATCCTACT